ATTTTGCATTTTCATTTTTTATTTTTCTCTAACTTTCAAACTAAAGAAGAAATATTATTTTTCACCTCATTTTCTTTTCATTTCTCCTTCAAATTCTTTGAACCAAACATAGTGTTACTATATGTGTGATTCCAAAAATCTGAAAATGGAAAAGGAAATAAAACGAGAGTGAAATAATATTCTCTTACTACCTTCAACTCAGTGCATTTGTTTAGTTTAAATTTTTAAAGTCAAACTGAACAACTTTTGAATTTTAATTACTCATAATTTATATTGTATATTAGTACAACTAAATAAAACTTTGAAAGTTGTCAACAAAATAAAATTTAGGGGGTGTATTCAATCAGGATTCTGACAGATTTTTTTGAATTTTGAAAATCCATAGGTATTCAATTCAGATTTTAAAAAGTCGTTTAAAATCTGGGTGTATTCAACTCAGATTTTAAAATATTCTTCTAAATATGATGGTATTAGAAAATCGATTGAATTTGAAAGATTTTAAATAATGTGTATTGTGATGGATTTGTATGCCTTGCATATAAATATAAATCCTGTTCCAAATCCGATCAACCTTGGATTTTGCGGATTCTTTTTCTTCTCCTTCTTCGATCGGTCATCCACAGTTCCACGCCTCCCCCTCTTCTTCTTCTTCGATGAGGCACAACATCAACCACAGCCAATCTGGATGCTCTTCTTCCTCCTCCTCCTCCACTCCAATCTGGATGCTCTTTAATTCTCTCACTAGAATCCCGATGAACAGAACCGCGAGATGGTTCTTCGCAATTACTCCACCAGTTTTTGGACTTTTGAGAATGGGATTTTACTGTTCATTCTGCGGATTTGGTGTATGACTATCAATGGTTTTTGGGGTCCAGGTTCCCATGGAATGTTAAGTACTTGTTTATGTTGTTTTGGTTATGGTTACTTCCATAGTTCCATGTACTGGTGTTCTTGTTTTTGTCTACCACTGGGCATCGTGATGGACCGGCACCGCTGCAGGGGCTTGACGGGGAGAAGCTGGGTAGGGGCAGGGGGAGGGGAGTGAGAAGGTTCCTCTCCATCATATTCCGCGGGACGGCGGGAGGCGGCTTGGGAGGCGACACCGTTGCAGAGCCTTCCGCTTCAATCCAAAGCCTTCGGCGTTGCAGACTTGCAGAGCCTTCGGCTTGGGAGGCGACACGGCTTGGGAGGCTTTGTATTGCATTATTTAGACTCAACTTGATCACAATCGCCTTCATTTAAAGTCATCTTGGAGCAGACTCAATGGTGTGCAAAAAAATCATCATTCTTCTCTCTCTAACTTTCTCTCTCCTCCTCCTCATCTTTTTAAGAATTCAACTTGTACATGAATAAAAAAACACGAGCCTAAAATAGGAGTATAATAGCAGTGTTTGTAAGAAAATACTTTAGCATTGTGATGGAAAACTGATGATATACCACGCTCGCCCCTATATGGCAGTGTGATCACTAAATTATCGGCGGTCTGCGACGATACTTTAGTGGCCAGTAGTAACAAATGACAGTGTGACTGTAACACCCCGGCCCCCACCCTGGTCGTAAGTGTTCGCTCATAGGATTGTAGACTGGCAATACTTTAGTGGCCAGTAGTAACAAATAACAGTGTGACTGTAACACCCCGGCCCCCACCCTAGTCGTAAGTGTTCGCTCATAGGATTGTAGACTGACCCCACAAACCAACACAAGTCTTTCCCGCACACTTTGTCCTCACTCGTGCGCGCCCAAGGAAAACTTCCCGGGGGGGTCACCCATCCTAGAATTGCTCCAGGTCAAGCACGTTTAACTTTGGAGTTTCTAAGTGATGAGCTCTCAAAAATAAGATGCACCTTGTTGGTATGAGTAGTACTATCAATCTTTTTGAGCTCTTCCCATTCCCATTTTAATACGGGGTATTACAGTGACAATGATAGTGTGACAGTTACAATGTGATAATGTGCTAAGTGTGGTAATGTAACAATGATAGGTAAACTTCTATTTTGGTCTTAAAAGACTTAGAACTCATATTTTGGTATTTTTATAGTTTTTTACTCTTATCTAGGAATTTTTCCGTGTTTCTTTGTGTTAAGATTTTTTTTGGTTGGTCTCCAACGTGAGGAAAAAGCAATAAAAGGCACACATCTTTGAACCAATAAGAATGAGACTATGAGAGCGCATGGGGCTAGGGGATGACATGGTACCGGTACGGTACCGTGACCGGCAACGGTACCGCCGGTACCCGCCACCGTCACCGCCGTCGACGACGTGTCACCGGTTACGGGAACCGGTATCGGTACCGCCCACCTCGGTACCGGTTCCAGTACCCACTTTTTCGTTACCGGTACCGGCGGTACCGGTCCGGTTCCGGTACCGGTTAATAATTTTTTTTCCCACTTTTGCTCCCAACGGTCCTCTGCTCTACTGGCCTCTGCNAAAAATCACTCAATCTCTCAATCCATCTCTCAATCTATCATTCTCTCATTCTATCAATCTCTCAATCTTATTATCTCTTTTTAATTTTTATACATTTAATATTTATATAATAATATAAAATTTTTAGACATTAAAATTTTGAAATTTTCTAAGCCTTAATATATAAAATTTTGAAATTTTTTCGAAATTTTCAAAATTTAATATATAATTGATTTTTAAATATATTCTTTAAATAATTTAAATATATATTTAATTTTTAAAATAAATTATATTTTTTAAAACATTTATTAATTTTGAAATTTTTGAAAATCTAATATATAAAATTTTGAATTTTGTTTAAATTTTCGAAATTTACGATATTAATTTTTTTTAATATCAAGAATACATATATTAAAATGTCGAGAGAGTGTGGTAGAAGGTCAGTGGATATGGCGTCGTGAACCGAAGTTTGAGGAAAGGCAAAGCTAAAGCCACCTCCGACGGTTCGACCTCACGCAGTTCTCGAGGAAGACACTCCGTCTTTTCCTTTCCTACTATCCCCGATCAATTCATTGGGGACGGTATGACGGATGAAGATTTCGACCAGATTTATTCTGGTAGAGGGGATGCGAATCTCCCCACCCTTGATAGTCTATTCGAAGATGTTGATGAAGCAGGACTGGATAATCTGGACGGGGACGAGGAGCCTACGCCGCACAGCAACGACGTCGACGTGGAGGCAGGTGAGCCCGAGACTTCTCGAGGTCCGGACAAAGGTAAAAAAAATTAAAATCAGATTTATTTGTTTATCATTTTGACAAAGAAAAAAAAAGATGAGATAGTTTATGGAACTTGTAAACATTATGGGACCGTCATAAAAATGGGAGTTTCCGGCGGTTATGGCGGTCCGGAAAAACACCTAAGGTCGAGGCATCCCGTAGAGTACGCCAAATACGCGGCGAAAAAGAAGGGACGACAAGAAGTGCAAACCCAAATTTCTCGGTTTGCTAACAGAGGTAAGGGCGGCCTTTTTGCTTATAGCGACGAGCAAAATAAGCAAAAAATGGCCGAAATGATTTGTGAAGAAAATTTGCCATACATGTTTTCTGAAAAACTTGGATTTATTGATTATTGTCAACAGGCATTAAACTTTCAAGCACGAGGTTTTCAAGAAAAACAATTAAACGAGAAATTATTCGCCAGTATAAAATTGGAAAAATAAATTTGGCAAATTTTTTTCTCAATTTTAATTCTCGTGTTGCTATTTGTTCTGATATTTGGGGTGAAACTTATCATAATTTGTATTATATGGGTGTTACCTGTCATTGGATAGATAGTGATTGGATTTTGCATAAACGTGTTCTTGCATTTCGTGATTTCATGTTTTAAATTTATGTGTTCAACAGGGACTAGAAGCTATTGGGGAGTTTTGACAAATATTAAAGAAGGAATTAAGAAAATTTGGGGTGCTCGTCTTATTTCTAGGTCCTGGAAGATATTTTGTAAGTCTAAGGGTAGAAAAGAAGTACAATTTGCCAAAGATATCCACATTAGATGGAATAGTACTTACAAGTTGATATCACAGATTCTAAGCTATAAAGAGGAACTTGTTGAACGTTTTAGCTTTGAACTTCGTATAATCATTTCACCTATTGAATTTGTTATTCTTGAAAAATTGAATGCCGTATTAGAAGTTTTTAATAACGCAACTCTTACTTTTTCGCATGTTTACCAACCAACTACAAATACATTTTTTAAAGAGTGCGTTACAAATATGGGGCACATCAAGGAAGAAAGCAAAAAAAAATCTCGCCATACATCGAAAAAAATGTTTGAACCATCAAAAAAAATCTCACTCCGTTGGCTGCCAAATGGGCGATCTGGGAGAGGGTATGGGCAGCATGACTCAGTTATGCGAGTTTAAGAGATAAGAACTATCAGTTTTATGAACAGAACATTGTAGGTATTCAAATCGAGTTGTTGTTAAACCAAACAAAGTGATAAATAATAATAATAATAATAATAATAATAACAACAACAACAACAACAACAACAACAATAATAACAATAATAACAATAACAACAACAACAATAATAATAATAACAACAACAATAATGATAATAATAAAACTAAAATCAAACTACCAGTTTCAGATATCAAAATGATGTATCAATAATGTTTCATCTCTTGACGATCCACAATGGTTTTATAAAATCCCCACCGGTATGGTTTCGAAATCCTAAGTTTTTCGTTCTTAGGGCACAATTCATTTGGCAAAGACAGTTGGTGAGCCTTGCTTGCTACTCAAAAGACACTTGGTGATGACTTAGGGTGGGGCTTCCAACGGTAGAGATATATTTCGCTATTAAAGGTTGTTTGGAAATAGCATTAGAGGTTAGCATTAGTGTTTTGAAAAAACTATCTACGAACAGTGTTTAACATTAACATTTTCAAAATTATTTTCAAAATTAATATGCACAAAGTTATTCCCTCCGATATTAATACTTCAAAAAACCCCACATAGAGGTGTAGGGAGGGTTCCACCTAAAACCTTTCCACCCCTGCCTTTGCACCCCACCTCTAGTCACGGTGCAGTAAAAAACGGAAGACGTCTCAGGTGACTAGAAACGAACGGACTTTTCTCTGATCTCTTTCTCAAGGCAGATCAGACAAGCACAGAAGCATGGCTGCTCTCTCTTCCACAGACCACACCAATCAGGTTTCTGATTCTTTCACCGTTCTACTTCCCAATCTTTTCCCCATTTTGAGTTTGGCTCTAGGGTACGGCTATCATTTCGAATTTTGTGTTTGGAACTACATACATCACTCACTACCTTTATTCACTCTCTGATGCATAATTGCATACCTGGTACTGTAATCGAAATTGAAATAGCTCCAGATTCTTATTTTGTCTTCCTTCGTACCTAGTATGATTTTTTATTTTCTGGTAACTTGCTGTTTGTGATGTTTAGGTTCTTGTCCAGGAGACATCATGTGTGAGAACTTTCATACTAAACAGACCCAAGCAACTTAATGCTCTTTCTTTCGAGATGGTAAGTTCAAGAGGGATCTGTATGTGCTCCATTGAAATAAAACCTTACTGATTTCACAAAGCTATGTTTCAAAGTTCCTTATTTTTATTATTTGACTGACCCATTTTTGGACTGCCTGGATAGAGTTTCTAAAACGAGAATACTAACACTATGTTTGGTTCAAGGAAATTGGAAGGAAAAGAAAAGAAAATGCTTTTTGCTCATCTTCCTCACCAAAATGGGAGGAATTTGGTTTTCCTTCCACTTGGTACATTTTGCCTTCTCATTTTCTTTTCCTTCCACTTTTCCTTTCTTTTCCCCTCTAACCAAACAAGAAAAACTGTTTTCCACTTCATTTTCTTTTCTTTTCCTTTTCAAATTCCTTGAACCAAACACTGTAAATAGAGAGGAGGGAGTACTGTTCTCAGTTTTGGACTAGAACGGACATTGAGTTCAGTCAATGGTATATGATCAAGTATCAACTTAGAGGAGAAGGACTTCATATTGATTTTGGGTAGTTTGCATTGGTTTTGTGTGTGCCTGACTGCCTGGATAGTGTGTAGTTTTTGGGCTCACTAACACTTTGTTTAGTTCAAGGTTTTTGAAAGGGAAAAGAAAATGATACGAAAACAATTTTTCTTGTTTGGTTAGAGAGGAAAAGAAAAGAAAAGTGGAAAGAAAAGAAAATGAGATGGAAGAATAAAGTCAGTAAACTAAGAAGAGAGAAAACAAATTTCCTCCCAATTTGTCGAGGAAAAGCAGAGAAACGTTTTTCTTTTCTCTTCCTTACTAATTCCTTGAAGCAAACATAGTGTAAGTGTACAGAAGAGTTTTTGGATACTGGGAATTACAGGGGTGAGCGGGAGAGAAGTTACTGGTCATTTTCATGCATATGCTGCCATTTTCACATGTTTTTCACATTCTAGTTTAATCTTGTTTTTATTCTCACTCAAAGTAATTATCATTTGTTGATCTTATGAGCTAAGACCATGTGCTCTGCTTAGTCCAGGTATCCCGGTTATTAGAACTTTTCCTACTCTGCGAAAATGATTCTAACGTCAAGTTGATTATCTTGAAGGTATGTTTTAACTTCATAGCTAGTTTCCCATTTATATTCAACTGCTACACTTTCATACACTATGAAGGGAGCTAAGTTTGAGTATCTGATGTATTAGTTAGCTAGACCTGAATAGGTTAAGAACACACCATATGATAGGGACTTATAATATCTTATATTGAGCCTAAGTTCTCTATCGTTTTGCATGTTGTTTGTTCATTGTAAGGTGTACCATTGTTTTTAAATAGAAATAAGAAAAGCTTCATTTTATTAGTTTTGAAATAATGAAGTTTGATGTATTTTTATGACTTGAAATTGTGTACCTTATCAGCCTAACATGAATATCTTGTTCACTATCGTGCTAATGCTGTTATATTTCTTAGGGATTGATAATCCGCATATGAGTACATGACATTTTTCTAATTAACAGAGCAGTGGAAGAGCCTTTTGTGCTGGTGGAGATGTTGCAGCTGTAGTTAATGATATAAAACAAGGTAGCTGATTGTTCAACTGGAAATTTATTACTTTAAGAATGTGGATAAGTTGTCACCTGATGGCATGTTTTTGTTTTTCCTTTCTTATATATATAATTAGGAAACTGGAAATTGGGCGCAGAGTATTTCAGAAAGGAATTCACACTAAACTACGTCATGGCAACTTTTAGCAAACCCCAGGTTAACTATCGACTATGATTGATTTATTTCACTTGCCCTTAAATCTTTTGCTTTAGGTGTCTTCTTACTTCTTGGACCTGAATGTGAAGGTTTCAATTCTCAATGGAATTGTCATGGGAGGTGGAGCGGGTGCTAGTGTACATGGAAGATTCCGAGTTGCTACAGAGAAAACGGTATTTGTCCCTTTTTAGAACCTAATAACTCAGCTAAGTTACCCCTTTATATTTCATGTAATACCATTAGTATAATGTTTTTGAACCACTGCACTACTGTAGAAGTCGTGTCAAATTATTGATTTTGTGAGAAAGATAAAAACGCTGACTGACAAAGAATGAAGAGTGATGTTGAGTTGGATAAGCTATTGCATAGTTCATGTAGGGACTGAGTGTGATTGCTGTTTGTGTGTGCCGGGTTTTTTTCACTCCTCATCTCACTACAGATCACGGTTCTTCTACATACCTCCCCCCGCGCGTGCGCTTAAACTTTGCTCTAGAGTAGGATATATTGTTTTTTTGTTAGACACATATTCTATTGCTTGTTTGTTGAGTTCTAGGAAACCAACATGGCAACATATAGTGATGGGCACACCCAATCACAAATACCATACTATGGGGGCAATATATTTTGGTACTCTAAAGTTCTTATCATGTATGTCTACTGAATATTTAAGCTTACACTTTATCCCGTTATGCCTATGATGGGATATTGGTTACCAAGTTGAACAAAGCCCAAATGTCCAATGTACTTATGTTGCTGTAGAAAACTTCAGAATTTGTGGATGGAAATGAGCTATCCAAAATTTCATTTAATATGTTACTTTTCTCGTTTCCATTGCCAAGGAGCGAAAAAAGCCTTTTTTTCACAATGTTTTAGATTCAGGTAAATAGTGGACTAAATTTGCCAATGAAGCTAAAAGAGTCATTTTTATAATGTTTTAGCTCCAGGTAAAATGGTATGCATGGACTAAATCAAAATGGGACATTAAATATCCCTTTCTTCTTATTTCAATATTTCATAGTTTGTGTGATTTACAATCTTGTACCAGGAACTTCAGACTTGCTGCTTCTGTTTGCTTTCTTGCAGGTTTTTGCTATGCCTGAAACCTCTTTAGGCCTTTTCCCGGATGTAGGTGCCTCTTACTTTTTGTCAAGGCTTCCTGGATTCTTTGGTGAGTTCAAGAGTTTAAAACTTTATGTGTTCCTCTGCATATATTGATTTCATTATCAATTATTATACGAGTATAAATCTTTTTAAGGGGAATAATTGGTATTAGTCTCTTCCAACTTAGATATATGATGATTATTATTATTATTACTATTATTATTATTATTATTGTTGTTGTTATTGTTATTATTATTATTATAGTTATCTGTAGGTAGACCAATACAGTATGCATTTTTTAATCTGTCTTTATCTTCCTTGGCAGGAGAATATCTTGGGCTAACTGGTTCTAGGTTGGATGGTGCCGAAATGTTTGCAAGTGGCCTAGCTACTCATTTTGTTCCTTCAGAGGTACCCCAACATCATTGACATTTAGAATCTTGACATCATTTCTTGTTGTATACCTGACAACCCATATTTGATTAATCACATTGAAGCAACTTTCTTGAATGACATGGTATTACAATAATTGAATGTCAGAATAGAACAACCACTGTTGTTTTTTTAATAAAATAGGTAAGGTGGAAACCTGGCCTGGGGTTTGCCTTCCTGGTTAAAAAAAAAGAATATGCACTTTCATTTTCATCACAGTGGTATCATTTAAACTAAACTTCCTGCTTCTTTCAATTAACCTCACATTTTCTTTTTTCTTCTGTTCCAAATTAAACTTCCCACTTCTCTCATTTCCTTTTGAGGAAACGAATAAATGGCTGACAACAGTTTTCTCTTCTATACAAATTCAAAGTGCACACTTTTCAGTTTTCAACAATTTTCTTGGACTCCGTGTTGTTAAAGTGTCAAGTTAATTGTGGGACGGAATGAGTAGTTGTTTTCATGGCTTGTTTTTGTAAGATACCATATTGTAGAGAATTTGTTTGATCTGGCAGTAGGTCGCGCTAAATGTCTATGCAAAGAATGGTTAATTGAATTTCCCAATTAATCCATATATGCTCTTATTAATACCCGCATATTATGGTGTAGAATCTTCCTTTTGAAATGTATTTTGAATATATATGTGAGCATTATGCTTGCCCTTAAACCACGTGTTTAAATCATCACAACTCTGCTGCATTAATTTTGCATTTCATTATATGCAGAGGTTGTCATCCTTGGAGGAAGCGCTACGTAATAGCAATTCAAGTGACCCAGTAGATATCTCCTTAATTATAAGTGAGTTTTCGCAAGTACCAAAATTGAAAGAGAGTAGCCCTTATAATCAGTAAGCTTCTCTCTCTGTTTCTCCTTATGAGTGTTATGATTTCAACATTTCTATTCTCTGCCTGCTTTGTGCTGCAAGGCATTGTTTGCTCTTTGATTTTCTCATGGAAATTGACGAAATTTTGGATACCTTATTGAACAACAATGTTTTTTTTTTCAATAAAATGCATTTTATTAAATAATCAAAGAATACAAACGTCTGAACAAGCGGGAACAGGCTCCTCACTTGTATAAAAAGTAAGCAACAACCAAAAAACTATAATGTGACGCGCTTATCGGATATTGGAAGATAGACTTAAGTGCAATTACAAAGCCGGCTCAAAACATTCCACTTAGATCTAGGAATAAAATCATTCCCGGAGCCTCAACCCCCGCAAGGGTAAGGCCTAAGGTCAGATAATCCGATCAAGAAAAAATGTTCTAAGCCAAGAAATGCAATCGACATAAGTCCAGTCTAAAATCCAAAAAGCCCAACTAAAGAATGAATAAAATAATATGTGCAAAAATAATCCAAGTGAGCCAAGTAGAGCCCAAAACTGGAAAAGCCCAAAGCATGAAGGAAGGCATGTGTGCTATCCCAAATTCGCATCTGAAACCCGACCTGAGGAGGCCCAAACCATTTGCCCAATCATCAGGCCCAAATTCATTTGTTCATTTATCTATTTTCATTTGTTAGGAGTAATACAGTGTGTTTAAGCAAAGGTAAATCAGTAATTCTTGGTCACTGTGTCTCACCTCAAAAGATTGTTCTTTGTATCCAAAATTATCACGTTAGACATTGTGCTAACGTTTCTTGATGTCACCAATTGTTTGGGGATCACAAAGTTTCAAAAGCGACCACTGATCACATTTCAGAACCCGACAAACTAAATAAATAAATAAAACCATTCTCATGATTTGCATAAAATTCTTTCCTACGAACACTTCAGCGACGTCTTCAGTCGATCTCTCTGGTCAGGCTTATGACTGGTTTGGATCTCATTTCTGCAATTTTATCTGCACAGGATGAGGATTATTAATCGCTGCTTCTCTAAAAGAACAGTTGAAGAAATCATTTTTGCACTTGTAAGTAACCAACAATAGTGGTAGCGATTATGCAAAATTTTGTTTCCTTTATCCATATGTACTTTTTAGCTGGCTGCAAACTAACATAAGTTGATTAATGATTTTCCCGTATATTAACTTATGTAGGAGAGTGAAGCTGCAAATAACCAGGATGACTGGATTTCATCAGCAATTCAATCACTGAAGAAAGCATCACCTACAAGTCTTAGAATATCGCTAAGATCGGTAAGTATCAATAAGCACCCTCAAACATTTTCGTTAATTAATTGATAATTCCCAATAGTTGTACCTTACTCAACTTAAAAAGTTTAACTTATCCATTTGCAATAGTGGACTCTTTTATTGGATGGAAGGAGTATTTTTTAAATATAATGGCGTAGGACCATACCCCAGAAAACTAGAGTCATGGGTATCATCATGACTTTTGTAAGCATTCTAGCAAGAGTTTGTGGAGTATTTGAATGTGCTTTACTCTTTCCCTTCAGATACGGGAAGGGAGGCTGCAAGGTGTTGGTACATGCCTAACGCGCGAGTTTAGAATGGTTTGCCATGTGCTACGTGGAGACTTCTCCAAGGATTTTGTTGAGGTAAAGGAAGTCGTCTCCTTCTATTTGTTGCTTCTTGCCCTAGTGGCCTAGCCCCTATGTGTGCTAGAAAATTTAAACTGCTGTTTCGAATCTCAGGGATGCAGAGCTATACTCTTGGACAAGGACAGAAACCCCAAGGTTCGTTACGTTCGTGTGACTAAATTACGTAATCTTGTTGTCAAAGCATCCAAGTCTTGCATTCCAACTTCTAATTTACGGCGTGTTTAGTGATCAAAAGAGGTATGTGTTTTGATATCTCTAGATATCAGAACCCTTTTCGGTGTTTGGTGAAGCCAAAAGAGATATCGAGTTTGATATCTCCAAATATCATAAAGGTTTCGATATCCTTCGAATTTGGGATATATCAATATGAGATTTGATATCTCTCTTAACCGTTGACCATTCTCCGCCATCGGCTACCATTGTCACCACCAACCACCCCCATTGCTGGTCACCCGCGCATATCACTAATTAAATCACAATTTTAAATCTCTCCAAACAACTTCGCTTCACTTTTCAAAATCCATGTCTCTTCCAAATTTCAAAAGATATCTTATTGTACCTCTAAAACTCACCAAACGGGTCCTTATTTTTTTTATTCTATTTTTTTATATTAGTGGGATCCATCCAAGTTGGAACTGGTCACAGATGAGATGGTTCATCATTACTTTGACAAGGTGGACGACGGAGATTGGAGAGATTTGGAGCTGCCAAGCAGGCCAAGCATGTCATCATTCGCCATTGCAAAGCTCTAATCAGTATTTTGACCAGTAGTAACTGTTAAATATGGTGGTAAATGAAGAAAGTGGGTAAATAAAGAATTGTTTGTGAGTGACCCCTCATGGTAACTTTCATTGCTGGTATGTCAAATACAGCCTTGCACAAATTGGGTCATTTTGCATGGATGAATATGCAGGTCAATTAATACAAATGAGCAATTCCAATTTTTTCTAGACAAGTTTGTGCACTTTGATGCTTATAATACATTCACCATTATCTGCTCTCTATCACATGAATCTTTTGTGATGTTTAATTATTAGCTGCCATTAGCCTTACATAGGGCCCGTTTGGTGAGCGTGAGATGAGGGTCTTATATTTCTTGATAATATAATCTTTTTGTGGATGTCTTGAGTATAGTAAAACCATAACCGGATTCATATTTGATATTTTTTGATATCACAATCTTTTCAAATAGTGAGTTTTGAAATCTTCCCATTTCAAAAGATATCGATCTAGTGTTGTTGATATCTCTTTGAAGTGTTGGCCATTGTACCTTGCCTGTCAGTAACAACTACTTCGTACTCCCTCCGTCCCATTTTATAACGCCTGTTTCGGTTTACGATGTTTGACTGAAATTATTTTCAAATCATTTTATATGACAAATGGTATAGAATTAAAAAATAAAAATTACATATCAAAATACTACATCAAAAGATCTACAAAATTAGTAGTGACAACAATATTTTATTTTATCAATTTGCTAACGAAAATAGAGAAAGAAAGTGAATGAAGTTTGACCCTGTGAATAGTGAACACACATTATAATTTAGGATGGAGGAAGTATTAATTTAGATCATTAGCCCTACATAGGGCTCGTTTGTGAGAGCATGTGAGATGAGGGTCTCATGTTTGTTTCTCGATAGTAAAGCCATAATTGGGTTCAAATATGATATTTTCCGATATCACAATCTTCGTGAGTTTTGAAATCTTCCCATTTCAAAAGATATCAATAGAGTTGTTCACTTTTAGGTCTGGACCGAAAAAATTGACTGAACTGGACCGTGAGGTCTAGACAAAATTCAGACCAAATGGATTTCGGGTTAGTCTTCGCTCCCAAAAAATTAGGTGTTCGGCTTTCGATCCGGTCCGGTCCAAATCCAAAATGATTTAGGTCCGGACCGATTGGACCGAATGGATCTAATAACCCTATTGGACCTAAAAGACCTAGATGCTACTCCCTCCGTCCCAACTTATATTGCCTGTTTCATTTTACGATGTTTGACTGATATTATTTTTAAATTATATTATTTGAAAAATGGTGTAGAATTAAAAATAAAAATTAGATATTTAAAAACTACATAAAAAGATTTACAAAACTAGTGGTGACATACCTATTTAATTTTATCAAATGACTGCCGAAAAAAGATAAAGAGAGTCAATGGAGTTTGACCATGTGAAGAATAAGCCGGTAACTTAATTTGGAACGGAGGGAGTAAAACTCTATTTTTTAAGTTTTGGGGGGTGATGCTTTGTTTTAATAGATATCTTAATTTATTTAATTAAAAAGGTTTTTTATTAAGCAATATTTTTATAAAAATTCAAAAAAAAAAAAAAAAGGTTTCACATTAGTTGTTATGATTCTACATAGAAGTAGTCCATATTGTGTATCCATTTTTATGTTGTCTATTTTTTTATTTTTTTCTATTTGTACAGTATAAAATAAAAATCCTAAAATATACTGTATTCAATTGATCAAAGTAATTAAAAAATGTATATCTTTATTCGGTCTAATCAATCCGGGCATGTTCGGTGCTAAGTATTTCAGCCCGGTCCAAATTCGAATAGATTTAGGTCCGGTCTTTGGTTAGTGATTTTAATCAATTTGGTCTTCGATCCGGGCTTGGATTGATAAACACCCCTAGATATCAATCTAGTGGTGTTGATATCTCCCTCAACTGTTGGCCATTGTCTCACCTCGCTTGTCAGTAACAACTACTCTGTATCATTTTAGATTTATCTAAACATTCTCATTTTAGATTTCAAAATTTATATTATTTTTTTAAATTTTAGAACTCATACCTTACCACGCTCCATTCACCAATCGTGCCTTTTTTTATTTGCTTTACTCACCTTGAAATAATGATACGCAGTATAGTTAACACTTTCTAATTTACTTTTATGAAAAAGATGTAATTCATAATATTTCTAAACAAATCATAATTAAATTATTAGATTACTTTAGTGTTTGCTTTGTTGTAAAACATGTTAACAAACACTAGATTACTATTGTTGAAGTAAAAGATGGGGAGTAAATTTCACTCGAATCGATAATACATTTATCACTTTCTTTAGTGGTTTTTATTCAGATTGTTTGCCCTATTTTCATTTTGGAAGAGTACACTTAATACTATATTTGGTTCGAGGAATTAGGAAGGAAAAAATCGAAAATAATCTCTCATTTTCCTCACCAAAATGAGAAGAATTTTGTTTTTCATCCTCTTGGTTCATTTTCTTTTTCTTTCACTTTTCTTTTCTTTTCCTCCCTGACCAAACAAAAAAAAAAGTTCTGTCACATTTTCTTTTTTTTTTCTTTCAAACATTGAACCTAACACAGTGTTAAAGACAAGAAATTGTGGCTAAAAAACTTCTTTCTCCTAAGCAATTCTTAACCACACTCCTTTCACTTTTCAACACTTTTTTCAAACTCTGTGAAAGTCAAACTGAGAAATTTTTATATAACAGAGAATATTACCTTACTATTTTCATCAAATCTCCCCACCAATACCACCTTATTCTCTAACACAGCCAAAAGTTTCTCTAAAAAGTCCCACTCTTCTCATCTCAAACTCTATGTTAATAAATCAAGTGAGACAACTATAATCAAATGTGAGAATACATGAGTAAAAACATGCATCATATATTAATAAGCCTAAGTGCATCATATATTAAATGCTACTTTAAAGTTAATATTGCTAATTATCACTGAACTTGCGCGAACTCTATTTGCATCAGCTAGGTTGCAATGCAAGTCGATCACTAGCTTTGTAGACTTTAGACCACAACCATCATAGTCTTTGTCGGTTTGCAATCACATTGGCTAAGAGTAACGTAAGGACTCTATAGTAAAAGACAGCAAGATGAAAACAACATGTTGCATACACGATAATGGTACCTTTTTTTGTGTAAAACACGTTTGGTTTTAATGGAAAATTTGTCGAAACTTGTGGTTGCAACTCTAAGACGTTTTTGCAACTATTAATAAATTTCATATTAATAGCATTGCATTACAAATATTCTTAACAACTCCGTAATCAAAACAGAGTATGCAGAAGAGGTTAACTACAAAGAGACTGTTCGCCTATAAAGTACCTCATCATCACTGTCCCCTTCATCATCTTCTTCTTCTACTACACCTCCGGTTCCCGGCAATTCCAACTTCCCACCCATAACAAAAGATGGACCCACACTTTCGGCCTCAATAGAATCACCGTACAACCTCTCTTCAAATCTTTGGTCACTGCAGTTGAGAAACCAAGCCAGCGAGCATTTGATTCCCTTGCTGTGTAACCTCTGGTGTCTTGGTTTTATCCTGGACTCCAAACTGTACGTAAAGTAGTCTGGAAACTCAACAAGCTCTTTCATAGGCCTAGCCATTTCACTCTTGAAAAAGTAGAAGCTATTTTTCATTAGTCCCACTTGCTGGGAAACCAACTGAGGGCATTTGACCACCATTCTTGCAACGTCAGAAGTTGAAAACCCGCGTCCAAGAAGGAACTCAACAGGCTTCATTATCTGGCGTTGGTTGAGACTAACAATTTGTGGCATCCTTTGGATCACACAAGCAAACCCGTCGGGGTCAATCTTCAGCTTTAGGTTGAAGAAGTACTGTTGTGAAGATAGTTTTGCCTTCAAAGGCAAGCCGAGGATCTGTGGGTACTGTGCTATGACAGAAGGGAGAGCTTCTGGCTTTATGCCGAAACTTGTCAAACAGTCCACATTAGGTTTCACAGTGTTTTGAAGATCGTATCCGAGTAAATATGGCCGCTTTTCCAGCATCCTGGCCAAGATTTTCTTGGGCAAACCAAGTGAGACCAAATAATCAACGAGTGGCTTAATTGTTGTCCCAACTCTCATCCCCAAAAAATAAGGGTATTGTGTAACCATGGGTCCTATATCTCTTGGGTTGACCCCTATACTAAATAAGTACGCCACGGATGTGCTCATTGTCCCCTCAAGCTTGAACCCCAAAAGCTCTGGATACTTTGTCAAGACATACCCAATATCTTGCTTCTCAACATCAAGGCCTCTCAGAAACTTAATGACCGGAACAAGATCAACCACAACGCTAGCATTGAGACACTGTGGATAACTTTTCACAAATTCACCCAGCTTTGGCTTTGAAATCCCAATCTTTTCCAAATACGCTAACACGGGAATCATGTTTTTCCTCACACTACACCCCAACATGAGGGGATACTCATTCATATCATCAATCGTTAAGCCTATTTTCTGCAAGAACTCTACACGTTCGCGCATTACTTCCACTGTAGAGGGTAGCTCCAAATCCTCCAACTCATCGGGAACTATGCCTACACTCTTCAAATAATCACAAACTATAACCCGCGACACGAGTTTCTCTTTACGGCCTTGAATCACGCCCCACGTGACTGTAGGCATTTCATATTCAGGGAATTTGGACGGTTGTGTCGAAAAGGGCTTCGCAAATTGAACCTCTGGGAGACACATTTGCTGCTGTTGTGGGACAATTTGGGAGGGTTTGGGAAATAAGCTCAGAAATTTAGCTTTTTTACCATGTTTTAAGATTTCTTTGATGTACTGGTTTCCTCTTACACTCGAAGTCATTTCATCAAACAGATGGAGTGCAACCTCAAGATTCCAAAGATTGAAGATAAAACTTAGTATCTAAGTAGATTTGGAGCTAGGGTTTATGCTAGAGCATCAAAGGGGAGAAAATTTATAGAGATTCAAATACGAAATATGTGCAGAAGGTTGATGCTTACCACTTTCCGCCGATGGAAGAAGCTGAGGTCATGGCTTTTCTTGAACTCAGAGGTGAATTGGGGGACATAAAAGAAAGAAGACACTGTCTTGTGGCCATCATAACTCATAAGACCCAGTTTTTTTTTTAAAAAAAAGATGTAATCCAATTGGGCTTGGCCCGGGATTCCAGTATTCTGGGCTTCCATTCTAGCCTAATTTTTCTTAAGGGAGGCTTTTATTTGTTTGAAAATTATTACTCCCTCCATCCATTAATTCCGTTCGCTTTTTAAATATGTAGTAACGTGTAAAAAACTAAAGAAAGTGAATGAAAATAACAATTTTTCGTAGAATCGGTCTTGACAAATTCTCGATTAAAATCAATGCACCACAAACAAAAGAAAGTGAAGGAAAATAACAAGAAATACAACGATGCATATTGGTTCGGCCAAATGCCTACATCCAGTTCCCGAACAAATGTATTCGAGCCTTCACTACCAACTCATCAAACTTAATGGAGTTTGACAATCTGGTACAACTTGAGAATTTGATTTCACAAACCTCATATTTGAATAGCAAAGCTTTGATTTCACAAGAACCAACGCACTTGATGTAATCCCAGCGTCAAGATGTTCACATCCTTTCTCAAAAGGAAGAAAACAAAAACAGTGTTACAAATACTCTCGTAAGAGTGGATTACTACATTGCAATGATTTCCTATAGTATGTCTTAATCTATCAAAGACTCAAACAGTGAACATAGACGATTCAAGCAAGAAAGGAATTAGCAATCAAAACATTGCATTGCTTGAATATGACCGAAAAGGGGATTGAGTAGAAACTCTTTGAATAATCAAAGGATATGTTAAGGAATGTGTTCGTGGTACTCTTCTATTGATAAACATACATGAATGTGGGTGGTTTATAGAAGTTAGAAAGTGAAAAGGGATCAAGATATTTGAAAAAACTAGCCGTTTGGAGGCTATACTATCAGCTTATTCGAATAGGTCTTCATCACTTGTTCGAATAATCTAGTGAAAGTTTGTTACCTAAAATTCCTGTATTTATTTGAATAGACACTGCATTTGTTCGAATAAATCAGCAAGAATTCAAAGCATGAAAAACCATGGCTTATTCGAATAGTCTATCAAAGGCTATTCGAATAGGAGAGCCACTTCCCCGGCTTATCTAAAAGGTGTGTTCAAGGGATGAAACTTAGAGATGTCATACTCTTTAACACACATTTCAAAACCTAAAAGACTATCCAACCGAGGCAAAAAAATATTCGGTCTTGAACATCCAAAGAGTCCCTTCAATATAGACTTGATAAGCTCTTTGTAACTCTTGAATCAACCTTTTTCTTAGCCTTGATATTCAAATGTTGTTGATCGTCGTCGTTATCAAAATCTAAAAGATAATGGACAGAGGATATTACAAATATACATATTCATGATAGCATATTATCCAACAAAAAATATATCAAAAGTTCTATATAATAAGACGTAATAGTAAACAAAAATAGATTAGTGGACATAGGGAGTACTTCTTTCTCACACATAAGGAATGTGCTCCTATTTATAAATGTTCTTCACAGTTTAATCTGACACACATATTATTGAAAGATGAAAAAATAATGATTTTTTACATATATTCCTAGATGAATAATACGGAGTATTAAATAGAGTGAATAATGATGATTTCACAATTAATGAGTTAAAGTGGAAGGGTAAATTTGACATTTAAGACAACTTGTTTGTCATTAGAGGAAAGGGTAAAAAATTATGGACATAATAAAAAAAAGTCGGAAAAAGGTTTTTGGACAAAGATAGTAATACTTTAGTTTTTATGATCTTTGATGGATCACATTTTAACATCATTACTTCCATAGTTTTTATCAATATATTTAATTTCTTTGACCATTAATATCTATAGTTATATTTAATCAAATTGTATAAATCTAGTACACACTAAGGGTCCGTTTGATAAGTGAAACATGGTTGATATGATACAAGTTTTGAAGTCTAAACGAAATAATATAAATTCTTGAATCTGAAATGATAGTGTTTAGTTTTAGTATTTTGAAGTTAATTTATACCACTAAAAAATAATCTAAAATGCTACCCTTAATTAAAAATATTATTTCCATACAAGCCCCTAATTTTTTTAGAGCCCCTAATATTATTTCCATCATCTTAACTATTTGATATTTTCCAAATAAACTTTTTGAAATATATAAATACTTTTTTTATTATAAAAATTTTGCATAATTGACCATGAAAAATAGAACTTAGCATTGATTTTAAAAATATAAGTACTCCCTACAAAATAAAATTGGACCCAACATTGAGTACATATTTTCACTTAATCTTGAGAAATTTTACATATAATAAAGGTGCTATCACCGAGAGAATCTATTCAATCTTACCATAAAACAAAAAAAGTGTAGTGTCTAAAGTAATGTTGTAATGCAAAATATATATATCACTTAATTGCCTTATTATAGTAAAAGTTATTGCCAAATAAGGCTGGCATACATAGATAAGTGAGTATTATAAATATTGCTATCAGTTTCATTGCAACCATTGAGAAAATAAGAGAGTTTTGAATAGACCAGACACAAGTGATCTGTCTATATATATATAAATAAAAGATTTTCTGGTAGGTTTTTATGCTGTAGAAGCTGATGAGATTGATCTTCTTATTTTTCCCACACAATTGTCTTTAGGCCTACAATGTGGCAAATACATCAATGTGCAATCTGGATTTTCCCTCTCCAGCCTGTAAAAACAAATTTTTTTGAACCAAAAAACATGTGCTCAGAAATCCCACAATTCATTCATAGAGGGAAAAAACAAATCAAGAAGTGAAGAAACAATGTATAACTCACTCGTAGCCAAGAAGAAAATAGTGCAGAAAAATGGATATTTCGAGCTTGGCAAGATCATTTCCAGGGCAGAGTCTGCTGCCTGCCCCAAATGGTAAGAATGATCCTACTTTTGGTATCAGGTTCTGCACCAATTTCAAATGTTAAAGACTAAGTGTTAAAGCCTAATAGACTTAAGAGGTGAACTTTGATTGTCTAAAACTTATTGAGTTGTTCATTCATTGTATTCATACGCAAATGATGTCAGATAATATAATGAGCGCGGTTCTTTTGACACCAAGGATGAGTGTCTTAATATGACACCAGTCACCAGTCTATTTGTGTGTCTTACGATACTCTATTTCATCTCGAAGTAACTCCTACCCCTAAACCCCTCGTAGTCCATCCTTGCATCCCCCTAGCCCATCCACTATCAAATATTTGGAAATTTTGACAGTGAATTGAAACCCTTTTTTTTAGGGGGGGGGGGGGGGACNAAATGGATTGAACGAAGCACCGTAGGACCATCAAACCGATTGAATGTCAAAAGACTATTTAGGACCCTCAAATGGTATTTAAAGACTATTTGGACCTAACCCATATGTATTTGTGATAGGTGAAGAGCTTCACTATATAATCTATTAAATGTGTGAAAATAGAATTGAAAACTATGTGTTGATTTTTGAACTTACATCCCATCTAGAAGGGTTGAACTCCAATGGATCATCATATATTTCCTTGTCCAAGTGCACTCCCCTAAACCACACCAAAACTTTCCATCCCTTTGGAATTGTATACCCCGAAACATTCACGTCCTTGATAGCCTCCCGGAAGACAAAGAGAGAGAACGTCACAACACGTAGTGTTTCGTCGATCACCTGCCAACCCAAACAACCATATTCATACAAACCAATTCAACCGAAAACTCAAGCTTGTAGTTGAAACCCAGTAAACAAATGTCACTATATATTCTAGCAAAATATTTCGATTCACCTTGGAAAGATATTCCATCTGCCTGATTTCTTTTAGTGTCAAACCCTTTTGTCCATGAGGCATATTTCGCGCGATTTCCTCTTGCTCGGCCTGCATCATCATCATCATCATAGAAAATGTTAACATGAGGATAAAAATCTCAAGATTAATTGATCAAAGTACATTAAATTGTTGTCCTAATTGATTAAAAAATGCATATATAATAACCTTGGCTTTTTTGAAGACCTCAGGGTGCTGTTGCAGAAAGACAGTAGCCCACATGGTGATATGGCCTGAGGATTCATGACCAGCATTCAAGTACATTATAAGAACATCAATAATCTCTTCATCGTCGAGCCCTCTCCCATTGTCATCTCTCACTTCTAGCAATCTATCCATCATGTCCTTCTTCTCGTTACCACCATTCTTCGTTGTCCTCATCCTCTCCCGCCGTTTGTCCACTATCGATTGAAGAATTGCCACAAGGTTTTTCCGCGCCTAGAATCCAAAATCTTGCTATCAATTTCGCAAAATGCATAATACTACTAACATGCAATACAACTTTTACATAATTGAAGATCAAAGTTTGTCAGTTCGACTAAACGGTCAAACTCAACAAATACATTGAGACATGGATAGTAGCATGCACATGGGAACACAATACTAGTCAGTACTCCTTCCATTCACATTTAGTTAATCATTATGATACATGGAAATTTGAACGAATGTAGACATACATCATGTCTACATTCATTTAACTCTTGGTACACTATGACTTACATTATTCACCAAAACCAAAAGAAAGAATGAGTTAGATGAACAAGTATATTATACCTTAACATTTAATTAATCATTATGATACATGAAAAATTTGAATGAATGTAGACATAAACCATGTCTACATTCATTTAACTTTTGATGCAGTATGATTTACATTATTCACCAAAAGAAATAAACAAAAGAGTTAGATGAACAAAGTATATTATACCTTTAGTGCCTTATGGTAAGCAAAGCCAGGAATGTTGATTGCCATAGCCCTAACTCCATAGTTCAAAGTAGTGTATTCCTTCTCCAAGGCCTCGGCGACATTTTCGCCTTCCGAGCTCAAGAAAATGTGCATGATGATCCTGAATGTGAGCTTCCGGACCTGCGTCAAGAACTCGATTTTCCCCATGGAAGCCCATTTCTCTAGGGAAAACTTCACACTCTCTTCAATGTACCCAATGTAAAACGACAGCGCATCGTGCCCGTTCACGGGGGCCATTGTCAGCTTCCGCAGCCGCTTGTGCTCTTCGAACGGAAGGCCGACGAAGGACTTCCTGCCTATGAGCTCGGTGGTGGCGGCCGGCCACCCTGGCTTGAAGGCTTCGTCGTCGGATAATACTTTCCGGCAGCCTTCCGGCGTGGTCACGATGATGCTTGGGCTCCCGAACATGTGCGCCTTGTATATACCTGTGCGTCCATACCTAGATGTATTACCAATTCATTAATATAATGTGTTAATATTTGAAGCTAGAGTAAAATTTCATTTTTTTAAAAAAATTATTTTATTTAGAAACTGGTATAAAAATAAGAAGTATAAATTACACATTTCAAAATCAGTATAAAATAAGATGTGATAAGAATATTTTATTTCATCAAATAATCCATCAAAAAAGCTATCGAGAGACTAGAATATAACTAAACAAGATTTTTAGGATGGAAGAAGTATTTTTTTGAATAAAAGGAATTAATTTTCAATACATTAGATGTGTTTTTTAGTGTTATTAACTCAATTAGATAGTAGTGTGTGTTCATAATTGACAAGGAGTAATAGAAAAGATAAAGACAATTTGGGACAAGGAAAAAAGGCAGGAGAAACTTTTTTGGGACGGAAGAATTATGAAGTACTCCGTATTTAAAATTGAAAATAAAAGTTCTTAAAAACAAAGAATGAGATGTCTATTTTATTTTATTAAATGATTGATTAAAACACGTGCGCAGACAAGATTTTTTGATTAAGATGTTTGTCTTCTTTTCCTTAAAAAGTGTTGGGGCACCTCCCGCCCAGATGAAAGAGGATAATTAGTTCAACCAACCTATTAGAGTATTAGTATTAGACCTTTTGAGACGAATCCAAAAATAAATTTGTGAGACTTAGACTAAAACATACACTATCGTATTAATGCGTTGTTGAATGAGGGTATGCGCACTCCCAACAAAAAATGTGAGATTTATTTGAGATAGATTGAAAAGGTGGAAAAATGTTATGGTGCCTCGAAATAATTGATATTAGGGATACACCCATGCTTCGCGCAGATGATTATCATCTGTGTCACACAAATGATTATCATCTCTGTGAAGCATGGATGCACTCTTAGTAGCAATCATTTGGGGACACTCTAGTATCATCTGAAATGATGAGACAATAGAATTGGTGTAGGAAGAAGAAAGGGTACTTTCTTGGACATTAATCATAAAAGGAACACTGATGTTACTTTTTTCATCGCTTTGTGCAATCTATCATCATCATCTTATCTTGTCTAAAGGTGTGGAGTGTTGAATAGAAAAATTCCTTTTGTAAACACACAACGATACAAACCCCTAGTTTAAAAAACGGAAAATAACTAGAGTATGAACAAAACATTAAAAATAAATTAAAATATGTGTTTTAGATTTTTATTCTCTAAATTCGAGTTAAAATACATGTAAGGTGTGACTCATGACCATGTACATTATGGAAAAGTATAGTAAATTGCTCATGTAGAGTGTTACATTATCACAGTGTGTACTCCGATTTAAGAAATAAAAATATAAAAATTTTATTTTGGTATTTTCTCTATGTTTTACTCTTATTTAGAGTGATTTCTTTTTTAAAAAATGAATCCCATCTCCGAGAACCTCTTGATCAGAATGGGATGCACGTCGTCTCGGAAAAAAAATAAATTAGATTTTAATCACAGATTAATAACAAAGAATGAAATCTGAACATATGTGGTGCTTGCAGAAATACTATGCTTAGTATGCTAAATTTCCAGTGCAGTGTTGGAATCAAATTTGGATATCTCTTGACACCCCCTACCTTACCTTGTCCGTGGGACCGTGGGATGTTTTTTTCTCCGTATTAATGTACAAATTAAAATATATTGTAAGTTTTTTTTAAGGAAAGGCAATTAAAATGATGTTATAATAATTTAAAGATTAATAGAATGAATTTACTCCCTCCGTCCCAATTTAAATCGCCTGTTTTGACTTTTGGCATATTTAAGGAAAATAAAAAATAGAGTTGATTTTCCAAAATTGTCATTACTTTTTAGAAGGAGTGATGATGAATGAGAAGATAAGGTGAAGAAGAGTGACTTATTTCAGGGGTAGTTAAGGTATTTTATTTTTAAAAGTTTACAAAAACAACTAACAGGCAACTTATTTTGGGACGGAGAAAAAGGCAAATAGGCAATTTAAAATGGGACGGAGGGAGTAATTAGTGGGATGTATTTTAATGTTTTGATGGGCGTGGTTATCACTAACAACGTTGCATATTCTTCCTCTCATTATTATACTCCGTATATTATTGTGGGGCTTATGGTAAATCTACATCAGACAACAAAGTAAACACTACTTTTGCTGTTTTGCATGCACTCCTTGTACCAAAAAGAGCACTATTATTTTTTTACTAATTCAAGTTTAGTACTTTCTCTTTCTCACAAAAATCAATAACATAAAATTAGAAAAATAAAATTACTTCGGTCTCTGATTATTTATCCAGTTTTTACATTTTAGGTCAAATATTTTTAATAATTGACATATAATTAAATAAAATATATACTGTATATTAATTAGATAAAATAAAATTTTGAAAATATTTGATATAACAAATCTTATAAAACTATTTTTGTATCAATATTTAATACTCCGTATCATTTTTTACTCGTATTTAATATGGTGTCAAAGTTTACCCATTTTGACTGAAAAAAGTCAAAAATGAACGGATACTCAGGGACAGAGGGAGTAGTAATAAATCTCAGTATCACTCTTCCCCACTAACACTCACCCACCAAAATTAATTCACCCCAATTAAAGAAAGGGGATTCTTAAAAGTTTGACACTTTTTTTCTACTCCTAAATGAGCGTAACAAGTTAATATGGGAAGAACATTTTCAGACGGAAGAAGTATAAAATTAACAAACATAAAATACATAAAATAAAATGAGTGCATTTCATTACAATCGTTTAAGTAAACACATAGAAATAAGTTGCATAAAATAATATTAAAAGTGCAATAAAGAAAATTTACATAAGTAGACATAATTGAAACATAAAATTGCATAAAACAAAAATTACATAAAATAAAAATTAAAGCATAACAAAATAAAATTACATAAGTAGACATGATTGACGGATGAGTTTTTTTAATTGGGGGTTTGTTTCTATTACAAAATAATTGTAACTAATAATTTATATTTCCAAAAAATAATTGTTATTGATTATAGTGTCTGGTTTTTATTGGATAAATTGAATTGAGTATTTCCAGAGTGAGTATGAGAATTGAAAGATTCCCTTTCACACTTTTTCTACTTTGTATGCAATCCAATAGTAAAGACTCTATTAATTGTATGAGTGGGCCAATTTCTTCAAAAGTAATTGTTTGGTATGAGGTAAGAAAATAGTATACTAATGATGATTATTTATTACTAAGAATCTTATTAAGTAATATCATAATATTAATTTATTATAGGGACTATTAAATTCATGATGATAAATTTATTACCAAAGTCTTAAATTCAGAAATATTCAAACAATAATTTATATTCATTGAACTTTTGATATATCTCAAAAATCAAATACTCAGTATGAGATTTTTTTTCTTTTTTTTTCACAAAAATGAGTTATTGGTTAAAGTGATGTCTGGTTTAAATTTGTTATTTTCCTACACTTAAAAGCACAATATATTATTCTGTTTTTTTCTTCTTTTTCCTCCCCACTCACAAGAGTACAACATGGAAGCGAAAATAAGCCAATCTATCTCCATATCAAGAGAATCTTCTTCATAATTACGTTCACAAATCGTGTAATTTTAATGATTCCTAAAAACACTCACTAATCTAGTCTATAATTACTTTTTGAGGGAATTAATCAACTCTAGTTAATTAATCTATAAATTAAAAGACATGACCAAAATTGACAATAATGACCCCCGAGGAATCAGGGTCCTGCACGACACGAAGAAAATAGTCTTTTGTATCACAACGATGTAAAATTTATCAGTTAATTCTTTTAACAATAATTGACACTATAATAATAACAATAAAAAAATGTCATATTTAAAACATAGCAACGTAAGTACTCAAACGAACTGGTGTAAGCAAATGACACTAGTAGCGACTTACCGTAAAACATATATACAAATAGAAAATAAAATTTGAGCCATCCTCGGAAAATGGGTCCGGGCCGAGTGACCACCCTACCCATATATGCCCTAAGCCATCTCTCACTAAGTAATTCTATGATTGATTAAGTAATAACAAAAATATAAAATTGAGAACCTAAAATATAATAACGTTATTATGCAGAATTATTTTCAAAAAAGCCGAATGAATGATAGAGTAGAAAATACTCTATATGTCCAAGAACCGATAATTTTTGTTTATTTATGTGTTTTCATTGACTATTTGATGAAAATAAAATATTTTTGTCATATCTTGTTTTGTGAAATTTTTTCATTTTAAATATGTAAGTTTTATTATTTATTCTCATACCAATTTCAACCTAAAATGATTATTTCAAAAGACACAGAATTTTTGTTTTGAAAAATAAATTTAATCTTATATGTGAGAGAGTGAGTCTCAAGATTTGAGGAAAAAATTGAAGCTTAAATGCTTATGATATTTTTTTTTGATAGGGTAAAAACCCATCAGAATAATTTTTCTGCCGACAGAAAAATCACAAAATTCACAAACTTGCTATATTAAATTTAAGCGTTAATATTTTAAATGATTGATTTTTTTTAAATTTAGTTCTCTTTAAAAAATCACAAAATTCACAAACTTGCTATATTAACTTTTCTACTACCACAAAATTCACAAACGATTCAGAAACAACAAATCCGTGAAAGTCTGTGATACTTTTTTTTTTTTTTGTGACTCTATCATTGAATTGAATCATCAATCAATCTAGAGAGAGAGAGAGAGAGAGAGAATGATGAAAGAAAGAAAGTAACCAACCTGGAAAGAAAGGAGGAGATGAAGGAATCAGGATGGGGGGATTTGAAGGCAGAGAGGAAAGAGCACATGTTGCCAATGAAAGGCCACCCCAAGTCCCCAGGTGGCAGAGATGAGCTCTTCTTCTTCCCCAGCTTCACCCTCTCATAGTACCACCCATTCACCCTCCCCATCAACGCCCAAATTCCAATTACTATTATTAGTATTATCAATCCCACCATTTTTTTTTCTTATTTTCTTCTTTTCTCTACTAGCTGATGATGAAGAAGACTAATTGGCTTCCAATGTGTGGCTGGGTGGGTGGGTATTTATAGATCCTTTCCCTAGTGTGGCTGGGCCTAGCTATTATATGTTGAGGGAGAATATACATGCATATACATCTTATGTATATATACTTCTTACTAAAAAAAAATTCAATGTGTTGGAGTGAGATGTGTGATTCAAATGATGTCTAGCTAGTTGAAATTTCTACCAAAATAAGATATTACTCCCTCCGTTCACCAAAACGATTTCTATTTTCACTAATTAATGGAGAAATAGAGAGTGTATTTTTGTAGTTGATTTTTCAATTTTGTTCTTAATGTGATAGGTAAAAGTGAAATGTGATGAATAGATTTTTAATGAAAATATGTGATACGTAGGATAACAAAAAGTAGATATAAAATTAATTTTTTTTAATAAAAATGGAAGTATTTTGGTGAAATAAATTTAAAAAAATGAAAGACAAAGCTAAGGGTTCTGGTAAACGGATGGGGTATATATGATTTTATCATCTCTTGAATTGAGGTGTTGTAATTATTAAATTCCACAACTTGCAGTTGCATGGTGTACTGGCATTTTACAGTAGTTTTTGATATTATATGTTCGTATTATTTGACGCCATATACAAGTCCTATTTTTTAGAATCATATAAAAATATGACATCCTATATTTTTGTTTCTTAAATAGGAGCATTATTTGCACTATACAATGTCACCACTTGACGTCGTATGTTAAAATTTCACAATATTATTAATTAAACATTTTACATTAGAACTGTTTGGTACTATAAGGCTTGTTAATCTTATTTTAATTTGATAAATGATGCATGTTTTAGTCTAAATTAAATAGTTTTAAGAACTATTAATAATATAAGTGTTGCATTATGATATTTTAAAATTTTACATTATTATTCAAATAATTGTATAAAAAAATAACCTCATCATTCAAATGTGTAAAGTGAGATAATTGCATTTGAAACTAACCACTTGCATATACGTAGACTAATATGATTAATATTCCCTACGTCTAATAACGAATTTTACATGCACTTTCCAGTAAATAATACTTTCTCCGTTCCAGAGTATTTGTCTACTTTCATTTTTACACACCATCCAATACACTTTTTTAATCCACTTTATCTTGTAATTTGTATATTAAAAAATTATAGAAATTATATATTAATAATCTATATGTTAAGACAAATCAAACAAGATCACACATGACTATATTTAGGCTTACACATTGGGAGAATTTGATGAGTCAAAGTACTTAGATGAACAGTTCCAAAAGTCAAAAGTGGACGAATATAACGGGACGGAGGGAGTATATAAATAATTTAAGGGGTGAAATTTGGGTCTATTTTGGGATGGTTGAAAGAACTTTGGGGTGCATTTAAAATTTCCTTTAATTGTTAAAAATGAGAGCAAATAATGTGCACATTTGTGACTCTCAAAGAATAAGGGTGAATTTCAAAAATTGTTTTTTATAGCAAATAATCTCCTTCATATTTAAAAATTATTTTCTGATTAGTCTTTTATGCACTATATGTGGAAAATAATATATATTTGAATCAAAAAATTTATTATGAAATGATTCTCAAATATTAAGAAATACAAACATAATATTTTAGAATCGGTGACTATATATGAAAAATTTTGGTTGTAAAGGATTATTTATAAAATTCACTCAAAAAGTAATGAGAAAAAAATTAAACTATGAGTAAAATAAAATATTGGGAAATTAAAGTACCACAATAAGATCTTTCATGGTTTTATTTTCAAAATATGAGTTACAGTACTAATAATATCAACATATAATACAAAAAATACCTTAAAATATCAATATACAATTCCACATTATCATAGTTTAAATTTTTATTTTGGACTTTGTCTATTTTTTCTCCAATATTGGTGAATTCCTAAACGTAAAACGGGAGTTAAACAACTTTGGGATGTTAGGTTGATGCTCCAAAGAATATATAGTAATAATTCTAAAATTACTAATGTAGTTACTATATCTAGCACGGTATATTGGGAATTTATGGAAATAAAATAATATGCATTAATATTTATTACGGACTATGTAGATAAAGTAATATTACAAAAGCATTTAAAAAATAAGAGTACTACATTCGTCTCAAAATGAACCTTTTTTTCATTATACATATGGTTAAACTTTTTCTATTTTCTTGTTTATTTTTGTTACTTATTTAAAAAAGATATAATTTTGCTACATTTAATTTTATAAAATTTTTAATTTAGTTTTAAAATATACGGAGTATAAATTTTATATTTTTAATTCCACATCAATTTTTGAATAAACATAATTAAAAATATATTCAACTAAATATCATAAAATGTAAATGGAAGCTCATTTTAAATTGTGTGCATATATCATGTGTCTATTTATTAAATGAAAAATGTGCATACTACCTCCGTCTCTGAATATTCGTCTACCTTTGACTTTTTTTTGTCAAAATTGGTAAACTTTGACCTCAAATTAAATAAAAATAATATTAAATATTGATACAAAATAATTTTATTAGATCTATTGTATCAAATATTTTCAAAATTTTATTTTATCTAATTAATATACAATATACATTTTATTTAATTGTAGATCAAATATCAAAACTAGTTGACTGAAAAAAGTCAAAACTAGACAAATACTTAGAATTGGAGGTAGTATTAATTAAATTTCAAACTAACAACTTTCTTCAAAGACTTTGGAGTCCAACACTTTCAAAGTGATTCTCCTAAAATGAAGGTCACATGTTCAAACCTAAGTATAACGGTAACTCTATGTATTTTAATAGGTCTAGAATGTATGAACGTGCATATACTATATTTTAATAGAATTATGAGTTTTCAAAGGAAAAAAACCCAACAAATTTAGCATATGTAAAAATATAAAAAGTATTAATTCTAAAATATTCATTTTTTTAGAAACTAGAATATTCAATTAAAACGGTCAAGAAATGAAAAATAATTATATTATGCCTCAGATCGGTTTATAACATGAACAGAGCTTTTCCATGGGCTTGAGTTGAGGAGGACCACTCCTAAGCATATTATCGATGTCTCATCGCCGGCCGGGTACGCCATGATCGCCGCCGCTCCCCACACCGACTTGTTAAAGAAGGATAACTTTCTTAAGAATGGCAAAGCCGTTAATAGCTTTGCACAAATCAAGCGCCTCATGACCATGACGCCGGTCCTTCGGCTACAGATTTTACATGTTCGACTCTTGGCAACGACGATAAAGAACGATCATGTTCTGCATAGAGCGAGCTCCTGAATGTATTCGCAACATGCTTTACTTCCTTTCGATCATATAGAGATTATTCCGTATAATTCAATTTATCTTCTTCCAATCTATTTTCGAACCCCACCCTCCCTTAGAGGAGGGAAGGGAGATTGGACCATCCATATTTCTCCATTCTCATATGATACAATCGCTTCTCACAACTTCCCTACCCAACCAATCGATTTATTCCTTCGATTCTAGTGATGTAATTTTTGGCCGCTCCTTGTTAAATGTAGCACTAACTTTGGAATGCAAGGTAGTGACATAAAAATCAGAAAAATAGATTGGTTGGGTGCTACCTTGCATAACTAATTTTGATATAAAAAAATGTAGCACTATTGGACAAGCAATATTGATAACTAATTTAGTTATGGAGCACTAATTTTCTCATTTTTAGTTATGGAATACTCCAATACTCCATTTTGATATAAAAAAATGTATGGAATTAGTGCTTGATAACAATATTAGTTATGGAATACTCCAATACTCCATAACTAATATTGATATAAAAAAATTACCAAACTTATGAGCCGAATAATTGGACAAGCAATTATACCGCCCACCCAATCATACTTAGAGCCAAAACTCTCCCATTATTCTAATATGAATTTATTAAAGTGGATTTGAGTTTTTCTAATCTGATTTAATTTGATGTTGATAAGAATAAATAGCTGTAATGTGAATAAGTTAGAAAATGCGAATATAGTAATCTTTTAATATGAATCCACTTTATCTATAATTTCATTTATAAGATTTTATTTTATTTTTCCTTTCAATGATTGGAAAAAGCATTAGCAACAAAAATAAACATGATACGATTGTTAAACGTACACAAATGGTCTAAAACGATGTACCTAAATCAATTACACAATTAGTCGTACCAAAAACAAAAATGCTACCAATCACAAATAATTTACACATACACAGACACGATAATCATCTATGAACACAGACAATTATGTATAATGTTGAAGATACCTGTGGCAGGTTCCTAGCATTATTATATCAAATATGCATATACCAAACATAAAGTAAACACCATACATTCAAAGAATATCAGAAGACAGCAAAATTCATATTTAAAAGGCGGAAAACGATTTCCGTCATCACAGCTCAAAACAGGAAAAATGAAAAAACAACGAAGAATATAGCGTGCCCTATTTTAAAAAAAAAAAAAATAGTCTTGCCAACAAGGCAATCCAAAGCAAATTTATTGTTGTTACAGCAATATATATTCAGCAAGACTCACAAGTTCTTATTAATGGCCCGGGCGAAGCACGAGAGCCACAATGGACGGGCGTCTACGAAAAAAGGGTGAGCTGTCGATGTAGAACAAAGTTTTTCGACTTGAATGTCGCCGTAGAATATAGGTTCCTAAAATCATGAACTTGGTCGAATCTTTGCCTACATAGTTATTGCATTGATGGATGAGGATGATATTGGGTTCTCTCTCTCTCTCTAATCTCTCTATCAAGTATCAATCAATCTGATATCTTGATCTCAACCCCCAAGATCTCTTTGACTTGCTCATACGTCACGAAAGCAATGGCAATTGATGGAACGACCTGAACAAGTGTTTACCCTTATCAGTGGCTAACCGAAGCTTCAAACTTGTAATGAAAGATAGTATATGATGAAACACGCAAAAGGTTTGCCAAATTTAAACCTAATTAGCTAAGATCTATGTATGTACATTCTGCTTCAAGACTCGCCCTACACTTGATTGGATATATTGGCTAATTAGGGGGTCCGGAGCTAGCCTATCCCTAATAGCAATTATCAAGATTCAGACAGCCCAATGAAATTGTAATATTATGTACTATTAGTGTACTCATTGTGTTTCTCAATAGTGATCACACTTGTGTTGGCAAATAGTTTAAAAAAGGAAGTCGGAGTGAAAGAAAGAAAAAGTAGGATGAGAAAAAGGAGGATGAACCAAATCCCAAGGGTCCCTCGGGCTGGACAGTTAATGGGGAAGAGGTAAATTGAGTTATAGTAATCTTAAAAACCGACGGGTGAGAGAAGATTCTTTTAGGCCCCGTTTGGTACACGGAATTCAAACTATGAAATTGGAATTGAGGAAATCAATTCCAATTCTGGTGTTTGGTAGCACAAATACTATGTGGATTTGGAATTGATAGTGTAAAAAATGAATTGGAATTAGTAGAATTCAATTCTATGGAATTGAATCCCATGGAATTTCAATTCCGATTCCGTCAATTCTGTATACCAAACGGACCCTTAATGTATTATTTTTAATAATTTTTTTGCTAATATATTTTTAAAAATATTATTGGTCATACATTAGACTTGAAAAGCGAACCGGAGAATTAAAAAGGAATGGAGGGAGTAAGAAAGTACTACAATTGACATACCTTCACTGAATTGGGAACCAGGCCCTTGTAGAGTGCTCTGAAACCCTCATTGCGAACAGTTTTGCTAAAAGCATCAATCATGCCAGTGTACTCCAGAGAAGCCCTTCCCTTCCCTCCTTCACCAACTACAACAGATGCAGCATCTTTCCAACCCACCATCTGCATTCTTCGGCGAATAACATCAAGCGGATAGGCAACAGTTTGCCCAATGGTCCCTGCTGCAGCACCGCAACCCAGCCTAGTAATAACACCAAGCTCGCCATTTTCGTCCACAAGTCCGAGAGGTTTAGATTTTATCAGAAAATCTTTCAATGATTCATAAACGGCAAAATTAAGACCCACGTAAGGAATCTGCAGCCACCAAATTGAACCTTGAGTTGGGATTTCACCAAATAAAAATATACACAACAGAATTCAAAGTTTCTTGGAGATATGCAAAACTGAGTCAGGACTTACAACTCCTATGACAGAAGGAAGCCAGCCTTTATACAAAGCCCGTGGACCTTCCTCGCGGAGCACAGTTGACAAAGCATGAAGCATTCCCCTGTACTGGTAAGGAGATTTATCTGTCTGAAAACAAGAAGAGAGAACTTCATTCATGCTGCAAACAAATGCATTACAAAGAGATGCTACAAGATTATATGCAGAATTGGTGTTTTTTTCAGGACAATAGAGAATATTATTACTTGGACAGTAAGCCTGCCTCGGACCATGTCCATGGGGTACGTTGCAGACATGGCAATTATTCCAGCACAAGCTCCAGCAGCAAGACGCAGGAGAGGACTGAGCTGAGCATCATCTGCAAAAAAAGAACAAGAACAATGCCTCAAACATCACCAACAGCAAAGGGTAAATGAAATGTAAAAGTGATACAAAAAAGATCACATCAGCTAAATGCATTGATTGCAAAAAAAAGAGCATAATGAGAATTTCATTGACCATGTTTATGCAATGCAGTGACATCTAGTGAACATTGAATAATGGTCATTTGAAACAAATCAACCTCCAAAATTGAAATAACCTTCATAATGCATGAATAAGAAAAGAGTAATGCTACAATCACAAACAACTTGGACACAAACTTCACAAACTTGCTATTTATGTATTTAAATATTTATTTTTAAATGATTTAAAACCATTTTATTCACTTTGGAAAGTGCACAAATAGCAAGTTTGTGTAATTTGTGTCTAAGATATTTGTGAATCTAGCATTACTCATAAGAAAAATGAGGAAGAGCAAAAAGCATTACCCGGTGATGGCCCCTCAATCTGCAGCGTTGGAAGGGTTGATCTGGATACAGACCTAAACTCCGGCATAACTTGCACGAAGTGGCTGCCTGCCACTCAAACCCACAATCCCACACTTTACAGATTGAGCTTTAACCATGCACCAAGGAATGGCCCTTTGCAAGACAAAATAATAGAAGACATGATGAGGACAAAACAACAAAGTCGGTGCAATCCCAATTCCAATTAGAAAAAACAAGACACATTCTTTCCATTACAGAACAGACTACATCTTATATTGATTTGAAGAACAAAAACGTTTCCTTCCATTTGGAGCCCACACACCAAAGGGAGCACATACCATTTCCGGTTTGTTCCCGGTAGAGCCATAAGATGCCCCTGTTACAATATCAAAAAAAGAAAATGACTATAAGTCTTGATATATTAGATGTACTGGTAACATCAGGTGCAAAATGATTAACTAATAGGCTATAGGCTAGTGCCTTCTTTTACTATGCTAAAACTGAAATCCCAGTTGCTTTAAGACAAACAAGTGGACATAGAAACATCAATGAGAGAAGTTGTACAAATAAAGGTTTCTAAGGTGAGACGGGCGAAACAAACTCATCATTGGAAAGAAGCATACTTGGCAGCCTGCTCATAGCTGAAAAACTTGACAGCTGAATTTGGAATGATGCGGGCACAGTTGGTGCCATTGCCCTTAAATAATCCTCTGAATCCCTCAGTTCTCCAGATATAATTTAGACCTTGAACTGTGCCATTGTATTTAATACTGTGGGGATTTTGAACCTGCACATTTGATCACATATGCAGACTCCACTTAAAAAACATATTTTATCATCATATACGTTAGAAAATCAATATTTTTTAGACCTTTAAAAACTCTAAGGCTACTTATGGCAATGTTTAATCATCCATGAAATGTAGTGGGCATTACATATGAGGTAAATTGTTTGGTTGGGTTTCTACTTTGTGTTGTAATTGAATTGGGCATCCCAACGTATGGCTCATTACTAAAAGAGTTGTAATAAAATTTACACCCCAAAAGTAGTGGAATATGAGTAACATTAATGTAAATTCAATATGCAATCAACTAAACAATGTTTATAAAAAAATGTGTGTTTAAGCCTCAAGGCATCTTCTATTTATGAGGCGAGCATACTTATCACAGTGCCAAGGCACTAGAGGACCACCAAGATGCCTAGTCAATTAGGAGACCAACTTGGTGAGAATTGAACTAAAAATCATAAATGAAAAATATACAGAGTAGTAAATTAGTAATATTAGTAGAAATATATACTCCCTCTGTACAAGATTTAGAAAAAAATATTACGGAGTAATAGATCAATAACTAATTTAAAGAAACAGACTATTTTTAAAAAATATTAATAGATCATATGACTAACATTTAGAAAACAGATAAAAGTTGTTCACAAAACAGGTTTAAAAAAGTTATTAATCCAGTAAAATACAGATCACTAGAAATCTTGATTATGATTAATACAAATACCAAACTGCAAAACTGATGATTTTTATTGATTCGAAAGGAAATGTCATCATTTTTACAGTAGTAAAGAAACAAACATACAACATAAAAACTACTCATACAGATCAAATGAAATTTTATAATTTCTTTGCCTGTGCACTAAATGAAAGGAAAGGTAGACATCACTATTCATGAGTTTGAATCACCTCCTCCCTCGCAGACGTCACCGCATTTCCGTGTTACTTTCGGCAAGCTGAGGATACATTATGCAGGACGCCAATGAGACGCCTTAATAATGATGGAGGCAAGGCGTAGGTCTCAAGACAGTTTGAAGCATAAGCCACAAACTTCTTACAGCAGTTCATATATAAAAACATTACTCCCTAAACTTCTTACAGTTTGAAGCATAAAATTACTTACAATCTATAAAAACATTACTCCCTTAGCCCCCAAAGGAAAAATGAAATAAGTCTGGAACAAACAAAAGAAGAATGAAGATACACAAAGGGGCAAATTGAGTAAACACCATACCTCATAAACGATGTCATACTTAAGTAGCATAAACAATTATCATTAGTTTAACTCTTTACGGAAACATTTTAACAACTTTTTTATCTAAATAAAAATCAGAAAAAAAATGGACAGAGATATTAATCTTCCGGAGCAATTCAAAGCAAAGGGAAAAAAATTGTTTCATTACCGTTTTTTTTAATCAAAAGGAAAAACTGATTTTACTGTTTGGGTCATAAGAAAAAAAGTAAATGAAGTTCTTTGACGTTGCTTTAAAGGAAAATAGCTCAGCTTGCATAAAATGTTTTCCCTTCTGCAAGAATGCAGAATAGTTTGTAGGCTATGAGAAATAGGTTAAATTTAAAAGTAGAGGTGTGTGAAGAAAACAAGTGTTGGGTTTGGCATAAAGACTTTAGGGTAAAATGGATCAGTATGACTAATTTAAAAATAATGAACACGGGCAACGTTAACACTTTAACAAATAAAATTTGAGAATACAGCTTCACACGTGCCTAAACCAAATGCCGTTTAAGCCTCATTTCATTCACTTGACTGAGTTGAGGTTTGAGCCTCCATGCTTTTTTTCACAGCCTCACTGAAATGAGCTTCAAAACTTTCTTTTTTAAACTATGCACCTAAACACCAATTACTATTGTTAAAAGCAGAATATGCCACTGGTCTTGGCTGCCTGTATCTTCCAAGGTATTGGACTTTTTAAGAACGAGTAATTACGGCGTCTCATGAATTGTACTCTTCTGGAGTGTCTAGGAATGCAAAGCAAGGTCCAAATTGGGTTCTCAATTTAAAATATGATTTTTTATGGGTGATATATTTTCTTCAAAAAAAATGTTGGGAGAACCATCACCAACTACTTTCAATGGAAGTTCGCCATTTCGAAAATGTGTGCATGTGAAGCACATTTTGTCATCAAGCACCAAAAAGCTAGTGTGATGCGTATGCATTTTCTTAGCAAACAAATTGGGAATCACATAAAATAATTCAATTTTAACTACTGAAGAAATATTGGCAATTCAGCATTTACCTGTAGCAAAATTTTTAACCGTTCCAAAGGAGCAACAGCTGTCCGTGACCTGCAACAGGATAACTTTAGCGAGATAAAACACCAGACTGGTAGAAATGAAAACGCTGCAAGTATGACTCCTTGCACACTATGCCCTATTTGGATAGCTAATGAATGCACGTTTGAATCAATCAAAGCTTAAAGTCTCAAACACTGCGCTCCAGAAAAAACAGGAAAAGTACGTGCTTTAATGTTTCTTTATGCTTTTTCTATCCCACGGGAGACTCCATCTTTCAATTCGACACAATAAATACAAACAAATGTACGGAAACAGCTAGAAAAATGAGTATTTGAACTCACACTCCACCCGCGACGCCTCCAGCCACGAGAGATTTGCAGACGCTCAGGACTGTATGGCTCGTCGGCTTAATTTCTTCCCTGGCGAGTTTCGCCTCTTCAGCGAGGTTCACGATCTTCTCCACAGCCGATTCACTAGCCTTCACGTCCTCGGAAGCCATTAACGGTTTAATCTAGATAACAACGAAGGATGCAATTGGGATCTGTGCTACTCTATACTGACGATCGACTGCTTTCGGTTTATCTAATCGCTTGCATTTCCGATCAGTATTTCGCAACCGGCGGCGGCGGCTAAGGGTTGATTGGCGGCGGCGGGGGATGCGGAAGGAGGCCGACGAAATGCAGCAGAGAATAGAGTGATGTTGCAAGCCTGCATTTATGTGGGCGCATTTTAGGTTTTAGCGTGGCGTCACCGGCCGGATCCAAGTAATCCCCAACACAAGGCTTAATTAATTTCGAATTTTAAAAATGTTGCTCTCTAATTAATAACTTAATACTTTTGGATTTTCTCACATTTTTATAACTAATAAGTGATCACTCAATTAAATGATCATCTAAATAAATATATAAGAAAAATTAATTTTGAATTAAAAAATTCATTTTTATAGGTATTTAAAGTGATATATTCTAAATTCGAATCTATGACATTATTATACATTTTTCATATGTAAATTTAATGCTCCGTAATTTTGATTTATTGTTGGAAGAACGTGTAAGGATTGAAAGAAGTTAGATAAAATTGGAAGTTAATTTTCGCAATCCAAATGAACAGACTCTAAATCTACACTATTTGTTACAAATGTATAAATTTATCCCTAAAAATGCAATAAGAAATGAAGACATGTAAACTTAATTGGTGTATGGATAAACTTCTTAAATTTTGATAAATAGGGTGAATTTAGCCAAATGTAAAGTGTTCTAAACACTCTAAAAATTAATTCTCAATTTCTTTCAATTTTTTTCAATTTGTTTAAACTCTTCTCAATTTCTTTCAACTACTATTTTGACCCGTGCGACACACAGGATTGAATGACATATTTGTCGATCCTGAATTTTTTTTCCCAATATTTATTCTAAAATCAAATAAATATATTATTTCTCACATGATTTCTAATACTATAGACAAAAAATCTAAAGTAAAATAAATAATATTTGAGCAATTAAATGTGTACTCAACAAAGTTTGTTTTAATGTAAGATTTTCTGAAAAACTTTAAGGTATACAACATTTTTGGTATGATTGTAAGGGTTTTTATTTTCATTTAAAACCAATATTATTAATCTTACTTCAAGGTCTTCACTAATAAAACATCAACATAAAATTGACCATGAGTGAACACCGACTTGGCGACTTGGTTAAAAATAATTCAAGAAATGACAATATTTGACTTTGCCTTTTATTGATAGTCATAGAAAAAAATAAGACTATTGGAAGTTGTCTCTTTGGAACTTCAGGAGTGCAGTAATCCTATATCAAATGGTATCAAATTCATCAGTGGTAAGTAAAATTTTTCCCTTACTTGATTTTTCGAAACAACATTAGCACCGATAACGTTCTTTCGTAGCTCTTCAATGATTAATCTTGTACTATCACAGAACCAAATGTTTGGTCAATGTTCCACAATAACATAATTATTACCACCTTTTTTAAAATTATTTTATGGTTTGAGATATTGGAACATTTGATTTCATTCAAGAAACTCAATTGTTATCCAATCATCATCAACACCCTCATCTGAATATACGTGGCGCGAAGAATCAGAACTCTATTACACCATTTAATCTTTGGGAATGAGGGATAGGACAATTTTTTTTACAATTTCTACAACCTCAAGCGTGGGTGCCTATAGTGTTATGTCTTCAAATAAAAATAAGTTTTCATATTCTCCAATAACTTGTGTCTAGAATCAAGAATTTAGGTTGAATTTCAACGTCATTTGTTCCATCAATCACTTGTCCAAGCTTTCCATCTCCAACTTTGATTATCCGATAAGAAAAAGCTTGTGTGTCCTTATTTGTGCAAGAGGACGTAGATGAATGCAATCTCATATTCTTCGTCAATGTATAAATTTTACAATATGACCTAAATTTTGATGAATTAATGGTAGCCCCTGTAATTTCCTCTCTCGAAGCTTTGGATAAAACGGGATGAATTTACTAAAAAGTGAAAATCATGTCGGATTATAACTATTGTCTCTCTAAATGGTTCATTTTTAGATTTTTTTTTAATTAAAGAACCTCATTAGATCTCACATTGTGCGTCAATCTATTCATCATACATGCTTCATCACGTATGATTAGACTTACTTGTTTGAATAGTTCTAGTTTTGGGCTCTCTTGTTTAATGGCACACGTTGAGCACTCAATTAGTACTTGAGGGATCGAGAATTTCAAATGTGATGTCCTTCCCCTAAGCAAAAGCAATGTTGTAGTACCAATAAATGCGACATTCAAGACAATCTTATCACTTAAACTTAGAGAAATCAGACAATGATTTTCATAGAAATATTTTTCCATTTCAACCGTAACCATACAAAACAAAGTGCTAAAGGGATCGAGAATCTCAAATGTGATGTTCTTCCCCTGAGCAAAAGCCATGTTGCAGTACCAATAAATGCGACATTCAAGATAATCTTACCATTTAAACTTAGAGAATCAAACAATGATCTTCATAGAAGTATTTTTCTAATTTAACCGTAACCATACAAAAAAGAAATTAAACGAGGTAATTCAATGCACCAAGGATTAAAGGATAATTATATTCATATCTAATTTAAGGATAATTATGAATTTCCTTGTACGGTAATTCAATGAGGTTTTCAAGGAATTATCGTTTAACGAATGATTTCGATTCAAACAATGTAATCATATATTGCGTCGCAATGGGTTAGACATCAGAATGGGATACTTTAGATAACAGAGTTTATTGATTCTAAATGTTCGTGTTTGAATCAGCGATCAGATCGTCTTGAGTCCACATGAGGATCTTTGACACCGGCTTCACAAATGTTGTTCAACATATATCAACACGAATCGTTCTTCAGGTTCATCTCACTTCCGTGCGATTTTTATGGTACAGATCAACTTCTTCATTCACGATGCGATGCGTACGTTGATAACGTATCAGAGGGTTATACATTTTTTTTCTTTCGTTTCTTCACCGAATACGAAAATTCAACTTGAGACTATGCTCTATAGTACTAACAATGATTATTAAATGAGAATTTTAACAAGTTAATATTTACTAAGTAAATTCTCATACCTTTCATAGAGCAGAGGGATGCAAGAGTCGTGGATGTGACCAACATTTTTTAAAAAAATCAAATTTTGATCCGAAGATCGGTTTTAAAACCATTTGCTCTGATACCAAATTGTAACACCCTAATCTGTCTAGGTCTGCAGCCCCTTTCGACTAAAGTATTAACTTGGTAATCGTAAAATTTAAAACATTTCAAACACTTTTATTTATCACAATAATATTTTTCATATCATAAACAGTACAGAGTTTTCAATACTGCGGAAGCTTTAACAAATCATAACCACAAACATAATTTATTTATATTCTTTAATTCAAAACCATCACATTCATTCCGACTATCTCGCCTCCGTCTGCCTCCAGGATCACGTCACATCATTCTATTGACCTGCGTGTAGCTAATAAAACACACTACACGCTCAGCGGTAAAGCTGAGTAAGCATATCTAATACGTCGAACATCCACATAAATTGAATCTCAATTCATAATCAACCATTTGATATCATGCACATAATGTTCAGTTTAAATATTTATTATTCAGTATTCATCATTCAATATTCAACATTCAACACTCATGTTCAATATTCAACATTCAACATTCATATTCAATATTCAACATTCATATTCAACAATATCCTTAAACTATTTTAGTCTAAGGCCAATTCCCTTCTTAAACTAATTCTAGTTCAAGATATTCTAATCCTTAAGCTAGGCCTAGTTTAAGATATATTTTTAAAAAGAGTTTTCAAATCTTAAACTTACCTTCGCTTAAGGTCAACCAAAAATCGACAGCGTAATGTTCACTGTTGAGTGGGTGGTACCCCCAAATTAGAAGGTACTCAAGTTTGGTTCTTGGATCCCGTACGTACGTTTTAACCCTAGCCACCGGGCATCATACCCGCAAGGCCTAACTTATATAGGTATATCTTAGAGTTCTTCTAGATACCTTTCAAATCAACATTAATATGGGTATATCTTAGAGGTCTTCTAGATACCCTTAACAATACATATTATTTTCAGAATCATCAATATATTCATTATGATTTAATCATTCATAATTTCCATTTTTAATCAGAACATTTATCAAGATTTAATCATCATAATCATCAATCAATAATCATTACCATAATCATCAATCAACATAATATTTAATAACAATTAGCGACCTAGCTTCGGGTGTTAACACACTAACTTACCGTCATGCATCACATAACATTTTTATTTGTTAAAAACATCACTTTTATTGTGATAAATCATTTTTATAATCATCATAATCAATTGGTATCAAAAATAGGATTTTAGAGCTCAAAAATAACATTTTTGGAAGCATTTTCGGAACAGACAGGTCGGGGGATTGATCCAGCACTTTGGATCGATCCTCTGTAGAGAAATTATCCATTTGGATCGATCCAGGAGGGATGATCGATCCTCCCTGGGTGTTTTCAGCCACTGTTCATCGTTTTCTTCGTTACGGGTCCAATTTCGGAAATACCATTTTTAGTCATCGAACTTTAACGAAGCTATAGAGAAATATTCTCCAAGGTTCATAGATCATTTTGGCATCATTAATTCATAGTTTTAACATCAATTTCATGGTTTATGATTCTTGGTTCTTCAAGCATGTCAAACACAAAACTCAACCAAACGACCGTTTATGAACGTAGAAACGATCTATACGAATATTCTAGTCATTAGATATATCAACGGGCTTACCTCGAAGCTTATCGAAGGTTTTGAGAATTTTCCGGCGAAACTTCCGGTGAGGTTTGTGGCTAGCTCCGGCGACTTCACCCCATATTGACAGCACCACTTTGTTCTCTACACTCACCGCTTCATCTCAGAGTTTATTTGAAGGAATTTGATGAAGAAATGGATGAGATTGGGTTCCTTTTATAGGAGAAGAAGTGAAGAAGAAGACATGGGTGTGACTCAGGATTCCATTTCTTCATTGGTGATCGATTTAGTGCGCAGGACGGCGGATTTGTAGGATTTCACACGCCGTTTACTGATTGGGACTAATTTTGGTCCTAGTCGAGGTACACTTTTTGGTCCAACTTTCTCCGAATTGAATTCCGTTTGCACTGTTGTGATCAGACAATTAAACTCTATCCAACGACATAGTTTTTATATTTATTTGTAATACTTTTTCCGACATCATATTTTTGGGTGTTTGACTTTGACAGAGTCAAAATTTATTTTGTTGACCTTTACTCAGAAAGGTTTTTACATTTCATTCATATTATTTAATTTCATGATTTATTTCAATAAATCATTTCAAAGTTTACATCACAAATAACTTCTTCATTTATTGTTGGTTTGGGTCTGTACTCAGGTTCTCAATCAAGGTCACATAGTAAATCAACATATTGGAATTATCTCTATGAGATTTATCCGGATTATGATATTGGATATCAGAACATATTTTACATCGGCCCAAAGCCTAATAATAATTTATTTTAATCAAAACAAATTTCGTTTAATTGAATATTTATTCAATAAATTTTAGGGTATATTTTGGGGCATTACAAGAACTTTCGTTTTTCGTTGTTTTGCGACGAATTGTTACCAATGGTGGAAACAAGGCCAGCAAGAGGAGGCAAAGTTGTTCTAACGCTCGACCTGATGTGAGCTTTTAAAATATGATCGGGCGGCTGCACACGAATCACTCCTCAATGACTGCTTCAATATTCGGTGTGTTTACACACCGGAGGATTTTAATATTCGTTTTCGGATGAGTTGTTCTTTTTTTTTTTATGCATACTTGTCGATATTGAACGCGAGGTGCCTTGGTTTACCCAATCTTTTGATGCGAGAGGCTGATGCAGAGGTAACTGCGTCCAGAAGCGCACCACTGCGCTTCGTCATATGGCATACATGACAACTACTTATATGTTTGACGAATACTTGTGGTTTTGGCATGTTTTTTTTTGTGTTGCAAGCTCGAACCACGATGTCAATGTTCTTGATCAATCGACCGTTTTTGACAATTGGATTAATGAGAATACACCCGACTCGTCTTTTGAGCTTAGAGGGGCACTTTACAAGAGTGGATATTATCTTGTCGATGAAATATATTCACATTATTCCACAATTGCAAAATCTCTCTGCGAACCAATGAGTCTTAAACACCAGACCTACAAAAAAGCTCATGTACGTATATATTATTCTTCATAATATGATCATAGTGAACAACGAGTTTGTAATTTATCATTACAACCCTGGCGAGGAGGTTCCTACAAACGAAGAAATTGATGAAGAGAAGAAAAGAAGAAACTGTCAAGAAATTCGAATCCTAAAGATTCACAATGCACTATGGTCAGGTTTGATTGAGCATATTTTATGTCGCTCAAATAATCAGTAATTTCTTCGTAATGAAATGTAATTTTTAATTTTTTTGTTTATGTTCTTATTATTCAAATCTTATTTTATTAATGTTATTTTTTTATTGAATGTAATTTTTTTCATTTAATGAATTATTTTCGTTTAAATCCAATTAATTAATAAAATCTTATTAATTTAATTTTACAAGATGTGCATTCAAAATATATAAAGTAAAGGTTTGAAACCTCAGAGCTTCAAATTCATTTTCAGTAAAATTGGGATGTAAGTTAAAGAGGAATTAATAATGTGACTTTAAAGTCCCGGAACTTCAAGAGTATTTCTAGTGCTATGATGAGTCATGGCCGTTGCCAAAATACGCGAGATAGTAATTTGAAAACAAGATGCGAGCCAGCCAAAGCAAAGATGTAGAAAGACAAATTTAGCCCTTCCTTAAGAGAGAAAATACCCTTAAAAAGTACTATCATATGAAGAAACTAAAGAGGCATGAAAACAAAGACAGGCCTTATTAGCAGCTATATGCAGTACTGAAGTAGGTTTTAACAACATTATTGCATAGTATACTGAGAACTTCTCTATTATTTGACCCAACACACCTAGGAGTCTTGAACTGACTTACAGCAGCTCCTAGCCCTACATAATGGTCCAAAATCTTGTGGAACGTGCCCTTGCGCAACAGCCGAAGCTCCAGTGGGCCAATGGAGTTCACCTTCCTGGAGCTGATGTAGCCAGCGTCGAGGAACGAGAGGTCCAAGCAGTTGCAGCAATCCTGCAGAACCTCGTCGCTTGCTTCACCGGAAACCTCCCAGAAGATGACATAATGCCCCGGGTCAGCAGATGCACTGACATGGCTTGTGAAGTCGAGCACTTCCAGCTTCGAATCAGCTAAGATCTTTGCTGCTGATTCCACTGATAACTGGAGATCCTTCTCGGTGTTCTTGTCTATGTTGATGCTCAACAGAAGGTTTCTCCTACATATGAATTGAAGCTCTGGTGTGGAGTTATGGAAGCCCTTCACTTTCACAACATCCCCCAGACGATAACGGTACAAGCCTGCATATATACGGGTTACAGGTTCTTCTTTTATGTACTTTTGACCCAAAATTCAACATACCCTATGAACGAAACGGAGCTCAGGGTATGTTTGAGCCTTGAGGGAAGGGGAAGGAAAGGAATGGTGAGGACCAAATGTTTTAAAGCCCCTTNTGCGAAATTGGTGAAAAGAATTTCATACTCCTCCCCGACTTTGACTTCGGTTAACCCTACCGTCTTAGGTTCATGTCGCAAACCATCTAAGTTGTTCCTCATAGGGATAAATTCAAAATACCCAATGTTAGGGAGCACAGCAAAGGTGGCCAACTCGGGAGGTGACTTGGGATTGACATTTGCACCAATCCATCCTTCAGACGACCCATAATCTGCACTTAGCAGAGGCAAATCCCCTGCATAATGCCTCAACTTCTTGAGGTAAGGTTCCATTGATCCTGTCATGATTCCATAGATGTACCTTGTAGAAGGAAAAAGCTCCTGAATTAGTCCATACCAATTACTCAATCCTTTGCATTTGTAGTAAATTGTATCAGCAGACTCGGGATCAGGTTTGAGCAGTTTTGACATCGCAGTCCGAATGGAGGGAACTGTTATTCGGCTTGACAGAAACCCCTCCCGGATATCCGTACAAAGGTCTTCCCACACTTGTTCAAAGGTGCGGAACGCATGAACAATACTGTGTGCAAAAGTGGACGACACAACATGAATTTCATTACGAAAAATGAGGCCACATAGAAGGTGACAGTATAAAGACTGATGAAAATCAGGGCCAAATATCACTTCATCAGGGCTGCAACATGGAGTGTTCATCGCTCTCATTGTTTTGCTGAACTGTGCATTACGGTAAACGTTAGTAGTAGCTGTACCTGCTGCCAAACCCCCCTTTGTCTTGAACTGCTTGCTACTATAAATGAACTGCAAAGCCCTCCCTTTTCCTATAGGGAAATCTCTGCAAAAATAACCAAAAATGAATGAAATGATTGGCCAAAATGTAATGGGTGGCCAAAATGTAAATCATAGATACGGCTGGAAAAACTTGTGCCTCTTTCATGGAGACTCAATTATTCTGACAAAAATGAAACTATGCTCAATCAACAATAGCAGCCGCTGGGCTTTGATCCCAGATTGAATAAGTCGCACTTAATAGAGGTAGAAAGCAGTTTTACAACGGCAGACATATAGTCATAATCTAATGTAACCCACAAATCAACAAAAGCCTTCTTCTTAGTTGATTTACCAAGGCACACACCTGTAATTAAACTCATACTTAATAGTAATAAGTAATAATCTACACTAACCCACGAATCAACAAAAGTCTTCTTCTCAGTAAAATATTACCAAGGCACACACTTCTTTTAATATAACCCACGAACCAACAAAAAGTCTTCTTTTCAGTAAAAAGAAATCATGCTCTTGCTGCACTTAGGTGGGTGGGTGGGGGGATTAAAGAAATCTTTTTTTTCTTCAAATGAGGAAACCTTAGAATACCGGTTCCTATAAGCAAAAGATGTCTTGTATATCTGCATGGTGGAATTCATTAATTCTTCATTGAAAGGCACAAACTTTGGCTTCCCCTGAGTTGTTCCGGAACTGAAACAGACACAACAACCAAATTAAGAACACCATCTAAAAATATTTTCTCAGTCCCATTATAAGGCCCTGTTTCACAAAGGCAAATGTTTTGATTTAGGAAGGTAAAGCTACTGAAAACCATCATATATAAATACAGAGTATATGATTACATCTATTTGTTGGCTCAAATAAATTTAACCTATCCAACTTGTTTACGATTGTTTTTTTAAAAAAAAATTAAATATGATATAAGCTAGATTCTTTTGTTCATATTGGACTATCTTCCTTCTTTTTTTCTCAAGCAAAAAATAAGTTCACAAAAGAACTCTGTTTATGGTGTGGGGAGTAATATGATTTTTTTATTCAACTAGATAAAATAAACAAAAGATACCTGAGTGAGATGGTGGTAATGGGTTTGCTAGTGAGAATAGGAGAGTCATCACCATCCGCAATCCTCTGAATATAAGGCTCCAAATCCTCGTGCAAGGCAATGGGGATACAGGCTTTGAAACTCTCAGGGTCCGTCCTCCCGCCGAGACCCCATTTCAGCAGATACTCCGTCTCACCGTTCTCTACCAAAATCCTCCTCAGAGTCTCCTCTTGAACTCTCCCTGCATCACGGGTCAGTGCCTCGAATTCCTCAATAACCTCCTCTGGATTGAACGTCTTCTCCGTCTCCACCAACATTCTAACTATGAATCAAGTCCCCTAAAAATAAGCAAGGAACTATTCAATCCTTGTGGATGACAGAGTGAGAATAAGTGAACAAGGAATCATTGTTTTGTGAATGAAGATGCGGTCAAAATCTGCTTAGCTTTTAATGTAAAAGGAGATGGTAAACTTTTTTTTGCCATATTGAAAGATACTCCTAATTCAAATATGCAATGTATGGAAAGGTGCACGCACCGCCTGGACTCGGGTCCACCCGGACAGCACAAAGAGGTTTGCAAAATGACAAAAAACAATTGTCCGAATTTACAGAATGAAATCCATTGAACAGGAGAAAATCAAAATCTAACAAATCCAATGAATTGCGAGTTTCACTCACGGAATTCACTGAATTTCATAAACAAAAACAAAGAATCGCTTGCTGAAATTAACTTCTATGAATGAATGATGAATGAAAAGCTCGGAGAATCAATCCCAAAAGCACGAAACCCGCCGGATCAGGGGAAAAATCGAGTTGCCTTTTGAAATCCAAAACAAATCCTTATCGCACAGATTGAAGAACACATACAGATGCATATGAATCGAAGATCAGAGAAGGAGAAGAAGAAGAAGATCACGAACCGCGGAAATCGTCGGAGAGCGAATCCAGCACGAAAGCGTCTCAATCAGCAGAGTGCGATGGAGAGAGTTATGTATAGGTCGTGCGACTGTGCGTGGAAGCAAGCGAGAAGTGGAGGGAGAGAATTTCGGAGTGGGGCGCGGTATGATTGGGTTGAAGTTTCAACCACCTTCAATAAATATATATCCACCAAAGGGAATGAAAGTGGTCGGTATAGCGGATAAAGGAGGAGACTCCTCTCGCCGGCGATATTAATGTTGGCGGCAACCGGAATGAACAGCGCCGATAATCCCGCCGATCACCTGAGGCGTGCTGATGCTGACATCACTGCACTAGAGTCCAGCTAGTAATTTCAAAAATGGATGTCAGGATTTTTATAAGGAGCATGTTACATGTATCCCAACATTTGTATCTCATTTGTACACTAAAAGTATGTACCAACATTTTGATGGTTCACACTGATACAAAGTGGTGGTGCGTTAACAAAAATTTATACTGACACAAAGTGTTGGTGCGTTAACAAAAATTAGCATTACACCAACACAAAAATGTTGGTGCATCCATGCGGTGTACAAAATGGGTTACAAATCATTGGGGTACGAATACTTTTATCCTTTTTATAAAGGGTTTGTTAGGTCGTTAGGGTACCCAAAGTGGTGTACATCACCTTCTCTGTGCATTGATAGTGGGTATCTGTGTCTATAATAAGGTGACGTACATTTGGAGTACACCATTTTAAAGTACGTTAATCTTTATATTTTTATTTATTACTTGATAAAATAAAATATATTTTTTAGATTTTTTTATAAAACATTGGTTAATTTTAAAATATGTAATTTATACTTTTTATATCAATATCAATTAATAAATAGAATAGTTTTGAAATAGATAGAATTTTACACATTGTGCGAAGTGAGATGATTACTTTGGGAAAAAGGAAATTATGTGTTTGTCATATAATATTGTCTTGTTTAACTTTTTAAGTCGAACTTTGACAAATTTGGATCACTAATTAATATATAGTAAAAATATTCTCCATATTAATACAAAAATGCATTTTGTAGGTTTATTTTAAGAAAAATGTTAAGAAATTTATTTCCTAAAATTAATATGTAATGCAAAGTTAATGAACTTAATGTGGTGGAAGTTTAAATTGTGTCTAGTTTGATCCAAAAAATCAAAAAAGGCCAATACTCGAGATATTTTGCACGCCAATATATACTCTAAGAAATCAAATTGTTTTACATCCCTACTTCGGCTCGACTGTGCTGGATCTGAGTTTAATTATGTGATACATTTTGATTGACATGACAATTGAAATACTCGAGATATTTTACATTTAGAACATATACATTGTAATTAATTGACATGACAATTGAGTTATGTTACCAACTCCTTATATCAAATGTCTTGTCAATCAAATTTATTTCACGTAATTAAGCCTATAATTTACTCTACTGGGCTGGAGTAGCGATTTAAAATCAGATGATTAATGAGATCATTGGCAGACAAAAAATTTTTGAAAATAATCAAATAAATTTGGGATTATTTGTGTGAATTTTCCCATAATTAAAACCATTTTATTCTTTTATTAGAAAAAGAGGTTTAACCCCAACTCACATGGTCCCTCACTACCCCATTATTGATCCAAACAAAAGCATAAGAGGATGTTAAAAAAACTATAATCTCAGTATGATTGATACGAATAAAATATGTCTCTTGTACCTACAAGAACCTCATACAGATTATGATCATTCTTTACCACTATCGTTATGAGTCAAACTGGGTTCATCCTTTTGACATTTCTTTCAACCGCTTGAACTACGACATCCAGAGATTTTATTATTTTAGTGAGTTCACAAATAATAAATATGTAAAAGTTACAAATTTTATTAGCGACTTTAGCATTTCTATACTAATTTCCAAATTTTAAATTCACCAACAGGATTTCAAGATTTCTGAAAAATTAAATATTTTTGAAAATATGGACACACTCATTGATACAATTTTCAGCCTTACTTCATTTATTTTACAGCATAATACTTTACACAGCTAAAATACAACAAGATGTATTCACAATTGGATTCAGATAATCTCTGCAACCCCACATTCCATTTGGCCCGCATCGTAATACTCCGTATTTATTTATCAATATTCTTTTTTCTTTTTTTCTTTTTTGAACGCTAATGATCAGTATTCATATTACTATCAAAATTATTGAAAAGGAGTACATGCATATTGCATTGTCCCTACACATCCAACTCCTGTTATAATACAAGATCTTCACAAGGTTTGACCGACTTGAAGATAATTACTTGTGTTGAGTCATAATTAGTAATTACTTCCTCCATCTTAAAAGTTCTGTTTCTGTTTGCGTGGTTTGACAGACTTTATTTTCAATTCAATTAAATGTAAAAATAAAATTTATATGCTTAAAAACTACATCAAAAGTTCTACAAAATAAGAGGTGACGAGACTATAATGTTCTATCAAATAACTAACGAAAATGGGTTAAAAAAGTGATTAAAATTTGACCGTGCGAATAGTAACTGGGACAAGACTATATTATTTATACTCTTTATATTCTTTGTCTTCGTCTTCGTCAAAGTAAGTGTCTTTTTACCAATCTATATTCTTCGTCTTCATCCCATGTTTCTTCATAACTCTAAGCCCAGTTTTCGTCTTCACTCCAATATCCAAAAGTTATTTTCTACGTCCTTTTTATAGGAAATTTTGAACGCACCACTCTAACCATGTAAAGAGAAGTGTATATGAGGATGTGGAGGAGATTAATTTAGTGATGAGAGTGATGAAATTACCTTTTTAACCTTGTATTTAATTTAGATAACAACATGATTGACAAATGACTCAACGTGGAAGGAAACTAAAGAAGTGGGGTATGTGCTTGTAATAGTTGATAAGTAGGGACCAAATATGAAAAAAGAAATCCCCAAATAATATTAAAACATATGCTATATTCTCAAAATAGGAGTTCAAAACTAAATTTCCTCTAAATAAGAGTAATTAATTAAATTTTGTTTTCATTTAAACAAGCCCCTCAAAACTACTCGTATATATTTTCGATCAATCATCCTAGATCAATTCTGGTCGATTTCCCACTCCTCTCTCCTCCCTCGATGAATTCCAATTGGGATCGCCGCCAAATTGCAGGCTACTGCCGCCGCCGCCAAATTGAGCTTCTTGTTTGCTTTTCTTCCAAAATCAACATGATCTCCACTTTGTTCCATAATCATATATGAAATTATTTCTTAGATGAACCCCACAATCGCTTCAAGGGATGATTGGTGTGATTTGTGAGTTTTGGTGATTAATTAGGTGATTCTAGTTTGCTTCTACGGAAAGGTAAAAATTTTTAGCATTATATTAGCATTTCTCGATGTTGGTACTGTGATGTCATTGTATGTTGGCAACCTACATTGTTCTTAGCATTTTACTTTGCATTTTACATTATATATTGTCATATTTAACATTATACAGTGACATATTTATCATTATACAGTGACATATTTGTCATTATGTATTACCATTTTGACATTGTATTTATAGTTTTTTCTTTAATAGTTATTGTGGCACCATGGCCATGTGATGGTGAAAGTGGTAGACTGTGGCAGTATCGGGGGCGGCGACAAAGCATGACAAAAACGGTGTAAAAAACAAATATGATTGAAGTGGCAGATCGCTGCGGCAATGAAAGTTCTGGCGGCATGGGCGGTGTTGTCGAGGACATCACAAGTGGCGGTTGGAGAGCCGGTTTCGACTAGGGCTGTGCATCGCCGACATCGCCGGCGCTGGTTGGGGTGCTACCATCATCGGCAGTTGTATGGCGCATTTGAACAACAGTAGACTCATTTTTAAATTTGTAAATGTTACTGTGTATAATATAATTCCTATTTTCGATATTTGTTTCTACTCCTAACTTGGTATATTGTTAAGGTTTTGCTTCTATTTTGCTCTTTAACTCTTAGATTAATGAAGTTAATTACTCCTATTTTGATGATATGAGATATATTTCGCTCCTAGTTTGGTCCTTACTAATGATCATTTATAAAATACATTTACTTATTATAATAATAAATCATGTGAAAATTCACACAAATACTACCAAAATATTTCAACATAATTAAGTCTAAAATGAACTCAACCGAACTAATGTGACGATGTAAAATCTGATGATTTCTCGAAATATTAGCCTGCAAAAAAGTATTTATACTTGTATTTTTTCAAAAAATATGTGCAAAAGAGAGTCTCAAAATTATATTGAAATAAATTTTTTCATAAATTTTTAATGAAAATGTGTTAGAGAGTGAAAGGGAAAGATAAATTTTTTCATAGATTATCAATGAAAATGTGTTAGGGAGTGAAAGGGAAAGAAAACAAAGTGAATTGGGAGAATCAAATCTTCAAAATTGAACCGGTAGATAAAGAGCTGATTTTTTTTCTAAGTCAATCAAAGTCAGGGCGAGTTGGAGCCAGCACAACCTCATCATCCTCTAGAGGAGAGGAGAGAAGAAAACAGCGAAACGGTGAATCTCCCCTAGTCCCTTTCAATCTCCAACCTCTCATTCTTCACGCATCTTATATTTCTGAATACCACCGATTCATTTGTCCTTATAAATATATATAATCACACGCAATTGTTGCATCTTTACCCGAAAGAATTCATTGATCTACGTTTTTTCGTTTCTCAATAATCGATCAGATCGGGGCGGATTTCTCCGGTTATCAGGCTGCTTTGAGCCATGGCTTCCAAACGAATCTTGAAGGAGCTCAAGGATCTGCAGAAAGACCCCCCTACCTCTTGCAGCGCTGGTATATATTGTTTCAATCCGTTTGTGCCTGTTCTTGTTTGGTTATCTTTGAACTGTAGCGCAGAAAGTGTTTGTAGGATGGATGATCTTTGAATTTTGTGGGGGTTTTATACGCATCCCGGGCTTGATTTCTAGCCTTCTTTAGCACGAAGATTAAGAAATTATGAAACTGTGGTTGAGTTTTATTTATAAACAAAAAGAGAGAGAAAAATGATCTTCATGTTTCTCCTTTGAATTGTGATGGGAAAAAGTTTTTGGAATTTCATAATTAGGAAAGTTGAAATAAAAAAAACTAGCAAGACAGGCGAATTAATGCTCCTATCAATGCAATAAAAAATACAGATGCTAACTCTATCAAGTTTGTGACAATATGGGCTTATATGTGCATCTAATCACAAATTATTATGCATATCAGTTAAAAATTTGTGATAATTCCAAAAATGACTGATATGCTCATATGCATAATAATTTTACATTTTTAGAAATGCATAATAATTCAAACAATGTAAAAGGATTTTGAATTATCTCTTAAACACAGTTGTTACTTTAAACAATGTAAAAGGATTTATTAAGCACAGTTGTTACTTTAAACAATGTAAAAGGATTTTGAATTATCTCTTCTATCATCATTTTATGCGCGATGATCTAAAAGGAGAAAATTGTATATTAATATCACGTTGAATGTTGTCTATCATTTTAATTAGCTGTAAAAGAATGACTTGCCCCAAATCTAACCATTCTCTTCAAACATGTAGTCCCTCTGTCTCACAATGAAGTTCACACTTTCCTTTCTTGTCCCTCCCAAAATAAACTTCACTCTTCTATCATTTTCTTTTTTGGAATTCTTAAACTTTGCGAACCAAAGTGGAAACTTTATTGAGGGACATATGAAGTATGATTTTATTTTGTTCATACAATTATTTTTGGTAGTATACTCTTAAAATTCCCACGGAGACCTCCAAATTACACTTCTCATGGCTCTTTATGTTTTTAATTGATTGGCCTTTCTCTTTCTTTCTCGTTTGGTGCTTCTCATTTTTCCTGATTGGACCCACCTAATGTCTAGGAATTAGTCTAATGGCTTCCAAGTTTCTAGTGCTTTTAGAAAATTTTAATATGTTTGTATTACAAATAGTCCGATGTGCTCCATGTGTGTATGCATTCTAAACAGTAATTATTACTGGTACGGAGTATAACACTTACTTAATGTTCTAGCTTAATCTGAGTTAGTGGCAGTAGCTAGTGTCCCTATGTGTCTATTAAGTTGCGGAAACTAGCTGTACTGTAATGTGGTATAAAATGACGTGTAATTATTTATTCATCATGTTTTATTAGGGTTTAGCCAGAGAACTAAAAACAAAGTGAATAGAAGTCTTATGTTTACTGATATGCACTAAAATGCATAGATGAGTAAACAATTTCAATTGAACTTTTTATGTTTTTTTGAAACACGTAATGGTTTTGTAAAAATTCAATTTTTAAAATTTGTTAGATATACTAAAAGGGTCTTCCACTGCACGGAATGATATAGCTCATTTTTTATGCACTACATACGTACATACGCGTGCGCGCACACACACACACATCTTTAGTAATAACCTTGTCGAGTCATATATGAACCTTATTTTGGGTCGGAGGGACTATAACTTATATAACGTACAAAGTACTTCCTCCGACCCAAAAAGATCTTGACGTTTACTATTTTCATGGTATATTTTTTTCCTTACATATTTTAATTGATCATTTCCTTACATATTTTCGGGGAAGCTTTGTGCACCGGGCTACCCCATAATAAACCACCTAACTAATAAAATTGTTACTCCTTACATTTCTGTTTTAGGATATATACATATTCTTGTTAGAGGAGTTCTATTGAAGCCAATTAGGGAAGAAATTGCTTTCAATTTTCATATAATAAGTCTTTTACATGTAAGGCAATTGTTGTGTTACTCTAAGAGTAACATAATATTTGTATTGAAAGGGAAAGCTATCAGACATAATATTTCTTGTGTTTTATATATCATTATTCAAATTGGTATTGAGAAATTCTACTCCCTGACAATTCTGTATTGTTTGTTTGTATTCTGCATTGTTTGTTTGTATGGAGACGATGTGATATTCGTGAAAACACAATTTGTTAGGTGCTATTAGTCGTTACCTCTTTATTATTGTAATATGTAAAATAAACTATGTCATTGTGTTCATGTCGCTCATCTCTGTATAAACCTACCTTGTGTTGATCCTTCTGGGACCTCTTCGTCAACCTTTTAATTGTTCTATTTGTAAGATTCTTTTTATAAAAACTTTCATGTACTGATAAGTGATAACTCTCCCTCGCTTAATTTCACTTTTTTTTTCATTGGGCTATGATGCACTTTAAAAGCTTTGTTTTACTTTGGCAGTTCACTTGACCACAATCCTCATGATTGTAATATTTGTCTCCATATTTGCATCCATATTTCCAATTTAGCATTTATCACTTTTTTGGACTTGTGAAGTAAATACAATATAATCTTCTAAAAGCATACCGCGGTATGTGTTCTTGGATAGTCATGATTAAACTCGTCAATGACTCTTGCACTAGAAGGTGGTTAGTACTTCAGCAAGCATCCCTATTGTAGTTCAGTCATGGTAGGGTTTTTCCCCAGACTTTGTCACCTTCACAAGTATTTCTGTTTTCATTCATACTTCAAATTATGTCCATATATTTTTGTAAAATGTTGTTTTAGTCATAGACCACCACAATGCTTTCTTTGGCATGTTATCTTTTGCTCTCTATGAGTCTATAAAGTTGCAAATATATATTCCTAATGCTTAAGTATTTCACACATCATCTCAAAAGAAGAATTGCTTCTAGATTCATATGCATACGATGCATATGATACGTTCCATAATCTTTGTTTTATTACGGTATTACCCTTCCCTGTAGAATTATGGTGTGGCTTAGTACATTTTCCATTGTCGTTAAAGTTGACATGAAGTTGTCCTCTTTGTCTTTATGTTCTCACTATAAAATAGCATTGTTTACATTACTTGTTGAACAGGACCCGTTGGTGAAGACATGTTTCATTGGCAAGCGACTATAATGGGTCCCCCAGACAGTCCTTATGCAGGGGGAGTGTTTCTGGTTACTATTCATTTCCCTCCTGATTATCCCTTTAAGCCTCCAAAGGTACATGATGTAGAATGTCATATTTTGGGCTAATCTGCTACATTGTTTCCTCTAATATTTAGATGAAGTCAAAAATTTCATGTCTCTCACTTATGATGTGAACATAGAACAAAGTAAAATAAATAAGAAGAAAATACTATTTTTACACGGAGAAATGAATGCAGCACTGCTTTTTCGGGAACACACATAACTTGAAAATGGTAAATGATATAAAAAGAATTTTTTGAGTGTTTAGTATTTTCCAAATGAAAATAGTCATTTGGCAATGTGGAACCTACAAATGATTGATTTTGCCTAGTTTGTTTTTGTTTTTTGCATTCAATATCATGCATATTATTTTTCACTTCTAGTTTTTCATATTTTAGTTACATGTGTATAAACACCTTGCAGGTGGCTTTTAGGACAAAAGTCTTTCATCCAAATATTAATAGCAATGGTAGCATCTGCCTTGACATCTTGAAAGAGCAGTGGAGCCCTGCCTTGACAATTTCCAAGGTCTTAGTTTTTGAAGTGTACTCACTACTTCGCTTTGAAATAATGCTGATTATTGTGATGCCTAAAAATGAACTCACAACCTAATCTGTGTTCCAAAATGGTTACTGTTACTCCATCCGTCCCATAATTATGTTTCTATTTTGACTTGGCTCTCTTTTTATTGAAGTGAAAATTGCGTGGTTGAAATTTATTTAGAGAGGAACCATTTCAACCACAGAATATTTTCTTATTACGGGAAGTGGAACAAATTTTTTGCACGCTCCAAAGAAGAAAGAAGGAACGAAATTATAGGATGGAGGGACTATTATTTTAAACTATATAAGATTTAGATTTTCCAAATGATATCATTGTAGAGTAGATAAGATTCAGATTCTTGGTCTTATTTGAGTTCATTGCTTTAGTATTAGGCATGTTTTCACTAAGGTTTAAGGCCTTTTATGATTGCTCGCTACTTCACTTAGAAATAATGGAAGTTGTTATCTGTTGAAATATAGTATATAGAAACCGTTGGCGGGAGCCGTTGAGGCACTGGGGTAATGTTGTTGTTGTTTGTTGTTGCATAGTATATAGAAACCCAATTGAGTTTAGGCGTATAATTTCTCTATTAAATAGTGTATTCATCATAAAAAGTTATCAAGCTGTGAGTTTATAATGGGTCATTATCCAACATTATTTCAAATCTTGCTCTTGTCATTTAAAAAGTTGCTCGAGAGGTGTTAGGCATAGCCAAGGGTAACGAGAACCTTCATAAGGGGGACTAGTGGTGGAATGGTGTAGTTGCAGGAAAAGTTAAAGCCAAGAAAATAACTTATGAAGGGCTCATGAAGTGTAGAGATGAGGAGGCTAGGGGGATAGGGGAGGAATATAAGATTGCCCACAAAGAAGCTAAGTTGGCAGTTTCAATGACTAAATATGCTGCTATTAGAAGTCTGTATAATGACATGGAAGCCAACAGAGGAGATAAGAGGTTGTTTCGGCTAGCTAAGTTGCAGGAGGCAAAGGTGTGAGACCTGGACCACATGAGGTGTGTTAAGGGCGGTGATGGCAGAGTTGTGGTTGATGCGGTGGAGGGGGGGTTAGAAACTGGTGGTGGTCGTGTTATCATAGCCTTCTGAATGATGGAGGGGATGTGAGTCTTCAACTAGGCGAGCTGGTCGGTTTTACCTTGGTGCTTGTTGTTTGCTGATGACATATGTAAGACTTGTTTTGTTTGTGAACTTTGCCTTTGGTATACACCCAAGCATCACCATTATTTATTTCTATTTCTTCCATTGATACCTTTACTTAGTAGTTACCATTGGCATTAGTTTTGTTTGCCTAATCTTAATAAGAATTGTGTAGCTGCTCTCTGTAAGTTGTGGAGCAAACATATTTTTGTTTCACTATTTTAGAATTACCCGTTCTCCATAGACTCGGGCACACAATATTATTATCTATACCAAATTTTAAATTTTACAGACGTTTGGAGCGTGTGTAGGCTTACATTTCTTCAGAATTACAACTATATTCTTATGGTTAAAGAGTTTCTTCTGAATGTGGGAAAGGTTCCTTTGGTCTTTGCTTCTCTCAGGTTTTGCTTTCAATTTGTTCACTCTTAACCGATCCAAACCCGGACGACCCATTGGTCCCGGAGATCGCCCACATGTACAAGACGGACAGGGCCAAGTACGAAACGACTGCCAGGAGCTGGACCCAGAAGTACGCGATGGGGTAACAACATGACCGTCGCGTGCTGTAAAAAAAAGATGGAAATGTCTCATGGACAACCATTGCAGTGGACATTTTGTAAGAATATTTGGCTTTCAAATGAAAATGGTGCTTTGAATCTATTCTGTTTGTACGGTTATTTGTTATGTAAAAACAGAACCAAGTAATTGTCACAATTCCCCTTCTTGAACTTTGAAATTTATTTCTGCTATGGGTATTTTTACACACCGGTGCTTTGAGTTGGCATTTGAAATCTGATATTTTGTGGAAATATAGGATGCTTTTCGTTTCAAAAAATTTACTACTAAATTATCCAAGGCGAGTTTCCACCATTTTTTTTATAATCAGTGTCACTCCAATTTTAGTTTTTATTTTTTCATTCATTATTCAATCCAACCACTCATCCAAAGAAGCATCTTCATTTCCGACACACTAACCTTATGTTGATATTTACCCTCTACAGCCAAACACTTTGTTCGCTACAACATAGCTTGTTTAATTCCAACACGGTAAAATTTTTCATTTAGTTTTAAAATTATTCTTTTGTCACATTATAAAATTTTCCATTTTCATTAGTCATTTGATAAAAAATATATAATAATGTCGCCACTTGTTTTGCAAGGCTTTTGGTGTAATTTTTATATACATAAATATTATTTAAAATTCCACCTTAAATTTCATATAAACTAAATTAAAAAATATTTTCAATCAAATATCGTAAACCAAAACAGATCGTTTTAAATGGGACAAAAATATATATACAGGTATTGTTCATACACCAAAATATTCAAAAAATAATTCATTAATAAAAGGTTACCAATCAGGAATAATGTTATTTCTCATAGGGTCACAAAGGTCTGAAATGTACTTTAAAAAGCGAAAAAACATTAACCACACTATTATGGTCATGCACCCCCTTATAATTAGAGGTGGCAATCGGATCAACCGGATCGGTTTCGAGTTGGATTTTTTCGGTTCGGATATCTTTCGGTTATATGTTATAATCGGTTCGGTTCGGATTTGATTTTGGTTCTATACATTTTTCGGTTCGGTTCGGTTTCGAGTCGGTTCAGATACAGTTTGGTTATAAATCGGTTCGGATAGATTTCGGTTCGGATACAATTTGAGTCGGATATATTTCGGTTTCGGGTCTAGTTCGGTTTGGATATATTTCGGTTTCGGATCAAATATATTTTGGATATATGTTATTTTCTAATTTTCCCCTTTTGACTTTTTAGTCATATTTTACAAAGTTGGACTACAAATTATGAAAACATATATATTTAATTATGATATAAATTTAATATAATTAAATTGATTTTAAAATTTAGTTTTGAAATATAAAAATTTTCTCACATCTACTAATATACTTATATGTATATAAATGAAAGGATAAAAGATAAATTCAAATAGTCTTATGTTCCATTTGAATAGAATTTGGTAAAAATTGAAGAAAATTGGGTGAAATTAAGTGAATTTTATTCAATTGAGTGCAAAATTTGTAAATTGTTGAGTATATTTGGTTGAAAATAGAGAAAATTAAATTTAATAGAGTCAAATATAATTAATTTTACACCTAAATGTAATGTTGTAGATCAAATTTGAAAATGATAACAGTAAAGGCTGTCGCTAGAGAGTCTTTTCAATATGCTAACACTAACATTTAATTTTATTGACTAATATTGAGTGAATTGGTTTGAAACTAATCAAATTAACTCTCAAATCAATAAAATTTATTGTAATGAGATGAAATTAGGATAAAATCTAATTATTCCATACAATTCATCATATATATATTCCTTTCGTTCCAAAAAGAATATCACACTTCATTATTTAAAAATTACGGAAATTTTATTTGTTTGTGCGTTATCATTTATATGTATAACTTATCTTTAATTTCTACATATAATAAATTTAAGGCATAAAAATTTGTACTTTTTTTCAAGAAGATAATCCTTTTTATGAGGGAATGAGCAAGTAATGTAACTAGTTCAAATGGTAAAATAAAAGTAAAAATTTAAAAATATAATATGCTTATTGAAAGGTAACATAGTTCTGAATTTATCGATTTTAGTTCTAATCGAGTTAGGATATTATCGGTTTCAGATCTAATCGGTTTCAGATTTTATCAGTTTCGGGTTTAATCGGTTCGGATATTATCAGTTTCAGATCTAATCGGTTTCGGATTTAAATCGGATAAGAATTATTTAATTCGGTTTCGGTTCGGTTTGGATCATTTCGGGTTTTCGGTTATAGATCGGATCTTCATTTTTCGGATCATTCCGGTTTCGGTTTCGGATATTTCGGTTCGGGTAATCGGTTCCGGTTCTGTTTTGCCAGGTCTACTTATAATGCAATTTGACTTGTTCTGCTTTTAATAAAACGATCATGCAAACATTGTCATTTTTGCAACTACAATGATAAGAAATGACAAGATTATCCATGATTAGTAACCTTATTAAATAATCAAAGCGCCTTAACAACAATATTTCCTTCAATGTACGGAGTATTAGTTTGCTCACGTTTTAGAGATACAAGCATCAAAATCTACCTAAAAGGCTAAAACTACAAAACCCAAAGCCTAACATTACATGTTGCTAGCCGCTAAATAGTCATGTCAATGGTTCGGGTTGTTATCGGATCCAAGTCCGGGTTCAAATGGGATCCAAGTCGGGGCCAAAGTCCAGACCCAACAGATTGACAAGCCTATAGATTAAAAGAAAAGAGATGCTTTACAGGCGGCCTTCGTGCTCCCATACATAACCAATTGAGCACATACACTTATTAGCCAGCCTTACTAAAGAAGTGATCTATCTGCAAACACCCTTGAGACTGCACACTGTTTGCTTTCACCCCATTCTTGGGTCTCTTAGTTGAGGCTGATGAACTGTTATTTTCCTGCTCGCAAAAACCACACATTACTTTGTAGCTTTTACCAGTTGAGGTGTTGTGGGAAAATGAGGTCATGGGTTTGCCTACATCACACCATTATGGTGGGACCTGTCCCTAGACCCTCGCTTTTTGTGCCCCGGTTTGTCGTTTATGCATAATGTGACATTATTTAGAGAGGAAATAAAGGAAAAGAAGCAAGGAACTATTTGTGCTCACCAAGGGTAAGTGGTTTGAGGACTTAAGAACTTTGATCCTACCACCTCGTCCGTCTGCTCCAACAGCAATCAAGTTACCAGCTATAGAGGCAGATACAGGGGAGGTTGTCGATGGTGATGAGCCCTTGGTCTGTGCCTTCTTGCACCATTTCCCTAAATGCCAATTGGTTCCATCAGGACCTATCAACCCACCTGAGAAGCAACGGTCTCCTGGGGTTTCATACCAATATGGGATATAAATATTTCTCCAAACACACAATAACAACTCGGTTTGCTTCAGGTTAAGAGATGCAGAGTATTAAAAAAAGAGTCTAAACATCAACAGAACTGCAGTTAGAGGAAATATGAGCACAGAATGAAAAACCTGGTGCACCAGGAAGGGGTGAAGACGTGTCTTTTCTGATGTGAAGTGACGCTTGACGTGGACTTGTGTCATCTAAAATCATCAAATCGTCATCGATGTCAATTGTATCTGGTGATAAGTTTTTATTGCTCTTATCAGAACTTTTTGAGCTCAGCATTTCTTCCTTGTTTTGTTCTTGAGGCACTTGAACCCCACTGATTGTCTCCACAGTGGGGTTTGAGAAATGGCAATCAAGGACACTTGTTTGGTTACCAGTTGTAGACTTCAAATTTGTATGCAAACCTTCATTCCCCCGATTAGTAGAAATCTCAAATATATCTATATGTTGTTTTAAAAACGAAAACTCCCGGTTTTCTTGGAGATTGCAAGCAACAGTTTCTTCCATTGTATCCTTTCCTGTATTGTCCTTTGCTTTGTTTGTTTCCTTTTTTCTAAAATGGGGTAAATCAGTATGCATGTTACTGGCTAGATTCAAACCTACCCTTGACACGGGGGAACACTTTTGTTGATCCTTATATGAGCACCTCATAGATTTGTTTTCTTGGCCAAAAGCATCTGATAAATCTTCCTCAAATGTTTTCCTCTTAGAAGTTCTCAAAGTTCTTAATGCTTTATTTTCTTTTGCTTCGGCAGCACTCTCGAGTTCTTGAACCCTTGCCTGTGAACAGCTGCATGTATAAGTATTTTTAAAGTTCAAACTAGCCCATACAAACTCACAATGTCATGAACTTACTTTCAGTGTATGGATCTTGACTTTGGCTTTCTCGAGTTTACATAGAGTACGTGCTTCTCCTCGTCCAAGAGAATTGCACTTCGCCATCAATTCTTTGTAACTCCTGAAGTTTTGCAAAAAGACATTCATTTCTAAACTATTCACATGTTTTAGTATAACTGTTAATTACAAGTCAAAATAATCACGCATGCACACCCAAACACGTGTGGTGTGTGTTGTATGCAAGTTAGGCAAAATACTAATGTATGAGTTGTGGGTGCAAACTACATGTACATTTATATGTGATATAAAAAGTGTATGCTATGAATTGTACTAAGTCATAAAGAGAAATTTACATGAGTCTATTGTCAATGAAGTTAAAAGTTTCCCTTATTGACAATGTTTAACTTCAAGTAACTAATAGACTAAATCAAAATGACACATTTAACTTCCCTTTTTACTTTCTATGAAGTTTTACGCAAATGAATTAAGGGGCCTAACATAAACTGTCTCTCTGTAACATAGGTATGGTTGCATACGTCTTGACCCCAAACCTAGCAGAGTTGGGATTACATTGGGCTTGTAGTTGTTTTATAAGCACGCTCAGTATATTTTATGTTGCCATATGTTAAGCTCTATTACACCACTCAACGGACTGTTGAGCTTGTTTGTTTATAAATTGGCAGACGGCTCAATGTGGAAATGAGAGAACAAAGCCTTGAGATAGTGAGATAACAGATAAAAATGCATATGCAAGGGTGGTCAGGTTATCTAGTGCTAAAGTTTAAACAGTTTTGAATTAAGTGATTTGGACGGTGCTATATTTGAATGATTACCCCTATGTCCCATTAAAAGGTTCCAAATGTTTTTTTTGTCCCAGAAAATGGTTCCTATCTCATTATGAGGAAGGAATTGTGTGGTTCACACAATTTCTCTGCTCTACACAAAACCTAACCACACTTTCACCTTGATTAAATATGTGCCCAGTTAATTGTGTAACCATATTTCGGGATGGAGGGAGTATATGTTAATACATGTTATGGGATATATTATAAACGTTTTCTGAGTTAATAATCTATTATTTCCAGAAGTTTGTCAATATGCATTTCCCCTTGTAAGTTGTAAATGGATAGTCATAGTAGCACTATTAACATAAGAAATTTTTTTTTACAAAATAACAGTGCCAGCCATATACAGCCATACAGGCAAGGCTATGAAGGGTAGGTGTTACTTATCTTTTTGTGACACTCACTAAAAAGCTAAAAACACACATATCATCTTAAACAAATCATTAAAACAACTATATTGAATCTAACACTAGATTTAGTAACCAAAAATGAGTATCTTTTTTGTACCCACTAAACCAAAAATATAATCTTCAACATATCATTAAAGACTGAAGCTGTAATAGCAATTTGTATATTTTGTAAGAATTTCTGCAGGTATGATACTAATGTCTTTCCCTTCTACAATCTACATATAAGAGAATCTAAAAGATGTAACATGGAACTGGGATGTCTTGTCATGTTTTAAAAAGGGTGTCTTACTTGTTACGGATGACTAATGATCTTTTCAAGACATCAACTGTCTGTTTACTGTTGGGCTCATTTCCTAACGTAGCCAACTTTAGGATGTCTTCTTCCTCCAGATTTAAATCACAGACCCTACATGTTAAACCATAAAAAGTAAAACCCATGCTGCAAAGTTGACTTAATAATGCTACTATATGCTTGCAACAAAGAAAAGTCACCTACAACTTAAGTGATGCAAGTTCCTTGGCCAGTGAAAGATTTCTTTCCTTTAGCTTTGTGCATTCTGAAGTTGATATTTCCAGGTCCTGCTAACCAAATGGTCTCAAGGGATAAGGATTTAAAAATAGGTTGTATGCAAAAGCATATTCAGTCCGGAGCAGTTAAAATATTTGCTATGACTGACAATACATGAAATGAGTACCTTAGATTTAACATAAAGCAAGTTCTGAGCCGCAGCATTCTGCTTCAGAGCCTCATTTTTCAGTGTAACTTCAACCTTTACCTGATCCTTAGATTTCAACAGCTAAAAAAATGTCGCAGACATAAGAGAGCCATTTAAAGAAGGGAAACAATGGCCTCAAGAATCAGAGAATTGATAGAGAAACCAACAAATCTAATTTTGAAGAATTCTCTTAGGATTTTAAGATTTTTTTATCTTAATCTCCATGTTTTAATTAATGTTTAAAATGTCTCTCATATGAACTGATAATTCCATTTTCGAGCAAGTCCAGTATACAGAGGAGGTAAACCAATATTTACATCCAACATAATCAAATAAGACAAAAAGCAGAAATATTGAGAAAGTACCACACTTTAATTGTTGTGATTAACATGAATATCGGTGGATATTATCAATATCCATACTGGCAAAAAAAATCAAAACAATAAAAGTATCAAGAATTTTAATCAACAATAATCACACCAGATATTCAAAAATAATATATTATAGAAATATCAAGCAATATTAAGTATTTTAATTCATAGGGGTAGTATTGTTAAAATCATAGATATTTCAAATCCTAAGAGAGGACAGCCCACCACCGTTACCAGACATGAAATACCATTAGGTTTTTAGAACTATGAACAACTACAACTATTTCAGCATATTTCAATCTGTAGAGTGAAACAGAACAAGAGTTTCTATACATTATTGACCATTTCTACAAAGGAATTATACGGTGGTTATGAACAAGATGAGGAAAAGGTTGAAAATTGAAATAACATTTGTTTTGAGATATGCAAAAATGTAAAGTGTTGGTAAGATTTGCATTTTTTAAATGATTTCAGAGACCAAGAGTGTTTTTCTTCACCCTGAAAATAAACTTATCTTTCATACAAAACAAATAATGCTCCATGTACAAGTTTGTAAAATGGGAACACTATATGTTGCCATGAGACAGAAAATGAAGATCCAGCTATTCCTTGCATGGCCACTATCATAAATCAAAGTCCAATAATGCAGATGAACCTTAAGCAGATTTCCTTTTTTATATGTCACCTAGTGGGATGAGGCTTTGTTGTTGTTGTTGTTGGTGGTGGTGGTGGTGGTGGTGGTGTTATCATTTCAGGAAAAAAAAAAACCATACTGTAACTTTTTTCCAAAAGCATCTTTTTTGTAGACAGCTCTAACCTACAATACCATACAAATGTCTTACACACATCAGTGAATTATATGGCTTTTTTGTCTCTCGGGTAAATACAGCAATGTATTAGCTCTACCATTCTTTTGAGACATTCAAACAAAAAATAATAGGGTAACATACCTCCTCAGTGACATCTTTGAATTCTTTCTTGTGCTGATCGAGAACATAACTCAGTTGAGAAACTCTCCCTTCTAATATCTTTACTTCTCTCTGCAATTCTTCTTTATTCTTCTCACTGCCACGTGGATTCTGGGAGAGGCCGGTTTCATTTATATCACCAACAGACTGAAAATAAAGCCGGTTCGCATCCTTCGCCTTACATGCCTGTTTGCATACTGGGCAAGTGTTCTTTCCTTTTGTGCAATACTCAAACCATTGCTGAAGACTAACAAATTTATTGTTATCATGAATATTCGAACAGCTACATATGCATATTCTCAAAAGAACAGAACATAATTGCACGGGCATGAAAAAAGTTTAAAGATGGCTCGCGTCAATGTTATTCAAGAAAATATCAACACCATGCTAATGATATTTAATAAGATAAAAAACAAACAATGATGCAACTTATGCAAGTTATATAGTGAAAGGTCACGTTGTTTTAAGAAATTTTGTAGAATTCACTTCGCAAACGGTGCATAAGCTAGCAAATGCATAGAAAAATACAACACCTTTGCTCGTGAAACTCCATCAACAACCCCTCAAAAAGAAAAATGTCAAAATATAAATAAACCTCAAACACAAAATGCTTAATTTCAATCAGAAATGGCATCCCCCCCCCCCCAAACGGCCAAACGGCTCAATAAACAGTATAAACCCTAAATGTCTCATTCTCCACACCGAAATCAATGCCGTTAAAAATCAGAGGTAAGATCATTCTCCCAGGCAAGTTAAAGATGGTGGTGCGAAAGATTTTACCAGAGCTCGTGAAAAACGTGTCCGCAAACCGCAATCGACTGGAGATCTTCAACGATTGGTTTAAGATCTTCAAAGCAAATTGAGCAAATAGTCTTGGCAATCTCGTTTTCGCATCCGACCATTGAGAAAATGCTGTGCGGAAGCCAAAATTTTGAGATTTGAGATCAATCCCCAGTGTTATCATGTCTTTAAAGATGGCGGAGTAGTGAAAATTTCGAACAGGGAGGGAAAACAAAATGTAGGTTGCGGGAAAATTATTAGCAAAACCCCTACTTTCTAAATTAAAACGTCTCCCAAATGAAGTTCCTTCTTCAAATTTTATTGATTTTCTTTGACTATTTTTATTACTTCATTCGTACAAAATTGTTTACAATATTTCGAATAATTTGTAAAATGTCACCTTTTTTAAATAAATTTTATTTATAATTTTGTGAAAAAATAAAAAGTATAAATTACACTGTTCAAAAGTATATTAAAGTTTTACAAAACAAAATGCGATAAAAATATTTTATTTTGTCAAATGGTCATCGAAAACGAATAAATAAACAAAAGTTATCGAAAGGCCGAAATAGTAACCGTAGCATTTTTTTTGGGGGGGGGGCGGAGGGAGTATTCATTAAATTAAGTTTGCTTCTTTTAACATTAGGGTTAAATATCATAATATGACATTGGCTCGACTGAGTCAGTTCTGTTTTAAAATTGACGGTTTTTATCCTCTCTAATCCATATGTTAACCGTCACCCTAGCGCAATCCAAACAGATCATCTCACCCGCTTCAATTAGACCACTCAAGTTTAGTTTACTTCGAAGTCAATATTTTTACTCTAAAGTCAACTAAATTTAGGTGGTCCAATTGAAAGTGGCGGGTAATCGGATCGAGAGGGATTTGGAAGGGTTTACCGGTGAGTTTACATGGGCTCTGCACCTCGTGTATCGTGCCCAAAAACAACTCCAACAAACATAAGTTAACCTTGTTACCCGTCGTGATCGTAAATAAAGCTCCACGCATAATCTTCAGAATGAGGGCCCAGACATGAAGCATAAAGTCCTACTCAACGCTAAAGTCATTGAGTGTAATGAGTCTAATCGCAGTCATTGTGATTTGCATCTTGGTCACGTCTCCCAAATCATACCTAAAGCCAATCATATCCTCATACACACACAATTGCACCCAGTAATCTGTCGACCTTTCGGCCAAACCAATCACAGGATTGGCATCCACGGGAGACAAAAAAGAACTGAGACATCTTGTAATGTGATACCAACCTGTCTAAAAGCTGGATGAAAGGCATGGGTCTCGGGCCGCCACCTCTTGACTAAGGCAGTAATCAAAGCCCAACGAATATGTAACTTAGAAATCCTTTTGACCCCGTAAAACCCACACTCTAGCAAAATCTCCTTAATCCGTTCATGATGATCCACCCCCAACCCATCATTCAAGCTACCAAAAACTGAACGAATTTCAACGAGTCGTCTGCAAATGCCTGATCTTGCCACACCTTATCACAAAGATGTTCACCGAGTCCTAGAACTAGTATGTCTCTCTCATTTGGTTCCGGATGTACTTTCGCTCTTTGCAAATCCATTTTTCTACAAAATAAAATTTTGTTGTGTTTAAATATGCAAACTAAAAAAAATACATATGCATTATAAAAAAATTAAAAAATAATTCCACATGTTGAATTAATCTACATTCTCATACAAAAAATATTCAACAATTTCTACATATACAACATGGAATGATTGGAAGTATACTAAAAATTTTAGATAAATTAAATAAAATATACATAGAATATAAAACTGAAGATTGAATAACAAAATAATTTAGAATTCTAATTGTATAAACAGTAGAATATTTAGCATTAGAAGAAGAAGGCGACGACGAGGACTACGACGGCCAGGGCCGACAACGGCTCAGTCGGTCAGATTTCTTTAAACGATAGATCCTTTATCGTTTGAACACGACGGCGACAAGATTATTTTTATCAAAACAAGAAATAAATGTAAGTTCGTGGGGGCGCATCAGAAAATCGCCAATTGAAAGCTACGCAAACAGATCAAACAATTATGTTGTAGAGAAGATACCGCATGTAACATCCGCCTTCCGCGAACCCGGTTCACCCGCGACCCGACGGACCGGTGGGGTTACATGAACAGTCCGAGAACCGTCCGTTACAAAAACGTTAATGATTATTTAATAAGAAAACGGTTACGTTTAATTGATGGGATATTAATGACTATTTATTATGAAAACGTTTATGTTTAATTGGTGTAATAAATGCTAGGAGTTATATCCAAAACGTGAGTGATATAAATGCAGAGTAAAAGCGGAAGTAAATAAATAAGTAAAACGACAAATGGTGGGTTCATGCCCAAATGATTAATTAATTAAATGAAAATAAATATTAAACTCGTCCATGCACCGCCCATCTCCTCATCATCACTGTCCTCCAGGGTTAGCACCTGTACCGTCATGTCTACCTGCGTGTAGCAAGAACAACTACACGCTCAGCAAAAGCTGAGGAGTGAATCTAACAAAAGAACATTACACACATATTAATACATGTATTTAACGTACGAAAACCCACATGTTTACTAACTGATTAATTTGCACTTGATGGGATATTTTTACACATAACAAAATGAATAACAACCACATTGAATGTTGGTGTGATGTGGAACATACATGATGATGACGACCACATTGAATATTGACGTGACATGAAACATACAAGATGACAATATGACTTGATGCATGACTTAAGCTATTAGGGGCACCCCTGACTTAGTCTCACTTGACAGGATCACCCCTGCACTCCGGTAATGACCCGGGCTCGACAAAACGTCGCAAGTGAAATAGCAAAAACCGGGTGGTAGCCGTAGCCTGACTACCATGTACGTACACAAAGCCCACCTGATGAAAACCTGTTGGATCCCAAAGGTTCCTAGACGGGCCCACTATAGTAGGCGCACGAAAGCCTGACCTCCCTACAGCGGTATGCACATGATGATGATCCTAGTACATGCGTCTAGAATGAACATGATGAATGCTTGATGTATTTACCTTTGGTCAACGCCAAGAATATATCAATTAAATAACACACATAATGAATATTAACATTTCATGCAAACACACAATAAGATTCTGAGTCAAACTGGTCAAATGGGGCTCGTTCTACAAACTGCCCGAATTTCTGCCTGCGGAACGGTCAACCGTACCCTACCGGCGGTCGACCGTGGGCTATGGTCTGGGGTCTGGGTCTCAGACGGTCCACCGTGGTCTTCCGTCATGGATGATGGTCGACCGTCCCGGCGGTGACCGTTGGACTGGCCGTGGGTACGGTCCACCGTGTGAAGTAACGGTCGACCGTCCCGGTGACAGTCTTCTGTCCTTGGCTACGTTTTGATCCATTTTGCAACCTTAACACCTTGATTCTTTTTAGAACAATAATACAAACATTGATGAATATATTCTTAGTGATTCCTAGGCCAATATTTATAAGTTTTACGTAGTGAACGTTTTGATGGCTAACCTACGAACATGCATAGATTCTACGTAGGTTGCGTACGATATTGCTATGAATATAACGACATAGATTATAACTGAATGTTCTAGAATTAGAGGGGACAACTACTCACCTCTAGTTGAAGAGGTTAGCGGAATGATGGGACGAGATGAATGAATGACGTCTAACGAACGGACGAACGGTCAATGTACGACTTCTCGTGTGAACTTCTCCCCTTCTACCTCCCCGTCTTCTTCGCCGGAAAACCCCTTGGAGCTGCTATGGCCTGGCCGAATGCAATGGAGGGAGAGAGAGTTGGGAGAGTGTGTAAACTTGGGGGTTACAAGAGTGGTGGAGAAATGGAGGGTGAAGGGGCTTATATTAAAAAAAGGATTAATGGGCAATGATGGAGGAATTAATGTAGCAAGTGGATGGGTTTGTAGTGGCGTGGGAAATGAGGGGAGTTAAATGGGGAGTTACAAATATTTATTTACTCCGTTATGTAAAAATCTGACCTGAACGATACGCGGTTTTCCCCCCCGAACAGGTCCGAATTGAGATCCGTTTACGTTTTTGGAACCAGACAGTCAAAATGCATTTAATGACATGCTCAAATAATTTTTCTAAGAACTTTATTTTCAAACTTCCGGGTCCACCCCAATCATTAATTAATTTATTTAATTAATGTTGAGAGGTCTGTTATTAAAACATCTTTTTATATTAAAATACATTAGCTTTGGAAAGCCATTTAAAGAGATCGAAATCTCAATATTTATTAATTTAAAATAATGAGTCTCAATAAATAAATAATATTTATTTATTTAAAATATTGGCGAAATATTAGGCCGGTTTGTAGGGCGTTACACTGCAGCACTGTCACAGTAAGAGATGACAGACAGAGTGCTATAACATCTTCTTTGCCATAAGCACACGCGCAGAATATAAAGTAAAAGCAGTAAACAGTACACGACAATTGTTTATGCATTTCGAATCAACTCTCCTACGTCTACAGGGCCCACGTCCGTTTAACAGCCCTTCTACTAAATCACCGTAAGAATTACACAACAAATCACAAGAGAACCTTCTAATGTATTGCTTTGTCTACTTATGAATGAATTGACGATAAACTCTGTTTCTGTCTATCTCCACGGCTTGTTACACGTTCTCAAAGATCTTCTTCAAGGATGTAGATTCCAGTACACCTTCAAACAATGATTCTGCCTTTCTTTACAAAAGTCTGCAGGCTGATCCGAAGCTCATAAATCAAGATTAAGCCGTTGGAATTTGATCTCTACCGTTCAGATTGAAGCTCCATGAGTCTTTAGACTCCTCCTTAAATTTCAGCACGACCGGACAAGATTTGGTACTCCGATCATCGACAAACCCAGAGCTGTGTTTTCTGAAGAAAAAAAAATCAGTGGCAATATGCAGATTGTAACTTCGATAACAGAAGATCCATAACTACGATTGATGTGAAAATTTAACACTTTGAAGCCCTATGTGTTGGGAACATCCTCTAAAAGTTTCAGCACAATCCAACGGTCGAATCTCCGGCGATGATCAAATTCGTGCAAGCTGTTCAGAAAATTGGCACTCTCAAAATCTGCACCTTGTTTTTCTTTTGATCGGTTTTGCTTCAGGTTTTTCGTAGTTTTGCACGCTTAAACCCTAAGGGAGGGTGAAGATATTATATGGAATATAATAGCTCTGTTAGAGTATGAATAGGAGTTTCAACCATGGCCTCCTCCTTAAGAAAAGTAAACCAAGTAGGATTAGAATTCAATGCAAGTTGGATTAGAATTCTCCCTTCAAGTTCTTTCCTCTTTCTCTTCCTTCACATGCTAGGATTCTAAGTCTTAATAAAAATCTAAAGTAATTCTAGGTAAATCTATTCGTTTGTCAAAAAATAATGCCAACACAATATGGAACTAACAATAAAGTACCGCTAGACATTAGTTAATTATTTAATGGGTAGCTTTAACGACGTGTCATTATCTTCGAGCCAAACAAATTAATCGGTATAACGGTATGCTGTGTACTGTTATACCATGACTTCTTTCTATCACTTTCCGGGAATTAATTCCCATAGAGTAGTCTAAATAGTTTTTCTACTATTACTGCAGATATAATATAAAAAAAAAGGTCAAAAGCGAAGAGTAGTCTAAAAGTTTTCTGTATATTTTTTCGACTCCTTTGTTCAACTATGTACCATACTATTTATAGATAAAACATGCATGTCTCTTCATTTCAATATCATTCCCCCATCCATAAGAAAAAGATCATGTCCCCAAGATTTAAATTAAAGGGTGCTTTCCCGTTCAGTGAAAAAAGTCATCTACAAATTCCAAAATTTTCAAAGCATTTCTTAATTCTTATTAATGTAAAATAGGTTTGGCGAACACATGTTAGAAATATTAATTGAATTCGTGTTTAGTGAACACGGTATAGGTCTGCACGCAGCCAAAAGAAAAAGCTTGTCTCCCTATATAATCTATGTCTCGCACTTTGCTTGTGCATTTAGGGTTGCCAAAGTCAAACCCGTGTTCAACAAACACGATTTGTCGTAAATTTTGAATATAAACATTGGGTTCAGTGAACACGACTTCACATCCAACATTCTAAAGTTTTGAATGTTTGGCTACTCCACTTATTAATATTTTCAATTTTTGTGCTAGTAATCTACAATATATTTTTAATTCTTTTTATTTATTATATAGTATTATAATGATATGATTTAAATATATCACTCTATTGGTAATTTTTTGTCATTTCAGTTGCGTTTTTTATGTAGATATGGACAACATACAATGCCAGCTTGCTAGTCTGATGAATGACGTTATGATCACTCTCCAAGATACTCATCGATCCAGTCGTGTTTGGGTGGAACCAAGCTTTGCCGACAAAAAAATATCAACATGTCGAAACAATTCTCGTATTTTAGAAAAATTTAATGATGATCGGATTGAGCAAGTTTTAAGCGTTGTGCGAAAATGAGTACTACCTACTCCAAAATGAGAGTACTACCGTAGTTCATGTACAGCCAGATTGCATAAATACATTCTCTTTTCAAGTCATGTTCTTCTCAACTTATTCTTTATTTATTCTTATTGGAATCAATCAGATCAGAAATAACTTTAAATATAACTACTTTAATATTAAATCAAATAAAAACTTATTCTAATATGGATCATTCAAATGAGACAACAAATGATCTTAATGCCATTGAATTCCATGGACACGAACGGAGCGTCCTAAGTGCAGTGACGCGTGTAATTCACACTCCACATGGCCATCATATTTCGCCCCTGTCAAATTTCCTCTGTTCGTCACCTCTTTTCCTCGTTCTTTTTATTTAACCGTCCTCCTCTCGCGCAAAAAGCCCTAATTTGCTGCGTCGCCATTTTTTCCCCTGCTTCCGTTTGATTTCTTACTTTTTTGGGGGAAAAGATTGCTGGGTTGATGGAGAAAAAAGACGAGGATTTGTCGATACAGATTTACAAAGATCCCAATTTTACCGGCGGTTGCTTGGAAATACGGTTGTTCTACGTCCGGATCGCGCCGTGCGCAGTTGGCGCTGTGCCGGACCACCTCACCCTCCGCCATCTCCGCCGCGAGATGGGCGTTTGGCTCGAAATTAATGGGTCTCGCCTCCCGGCCTCCGACGCCGCTTGGATCACGCTCCGCCTGGATCGAGCTGATAAGGATTCTTCCGAGGCGACTTATTTGAGCACCGACAGAGTCCGAGTTTCTGGGCCGGTGGAGTTTGAGGTGCAGGAGACGAAAGATGTATTGCTTCTGTGTGGATCTTTAGAGAGAGGGGAGACCCCGTGGACGAATGGGTTGGATAGCTCCTCCAAGACTGGCTGGAGCTTGGATTGTTACACGGCTGCTCCACTTGTGTCCGGGGGGTCGTCGTTTTTCCAGCCCAAGTTTTCCTTTTGCTCTCCTTCCATTGAGGTCTACATAGCAGGTTGTTGTTCTGGTGTGCCGGTTATACTGACAAAAACAATCCAGGTTAGCCCAAGAAAGAAGGTGCTGAGGCAGAGTGTATTGGATGCCATTCCTGAGGACGAGGAAATAGGGAAGGACCAGAATAGCAGTAACAGATTGGTTCTACAGCGTCAAAAGATGGTATTGCAACTTTTACTATTAATTTATTATAGTTTTAGTAATTTCTAGCCGTATGACGTGAAAGCTTGGTGAATAACTTTCAATCTAGCTCATGGGATTTGAGCAGGCATCGAAATGGTTGGCAGCATAAGGCTAGAGTAGTGACAGTTATTGGTATAAAATTAACAATCTTTTGGGGTGACATCTTACAGGATATTAGTGTGCTGCTCTTGATGCAGCATTATTTGTTCAGTGGAATAAGAGCCTTAGCTCCTTAGCTTGCAGTAACTTTAGAGGCTGCTTTCGAAACTTTCTGCAATTAAACTAGGAGTCGTAAGTAAAGTGACAAGTCTGCATAATTGTTTGCAATTAGACGGGCGGTTAATGGTTATTAGTTAGGCACATGTACATTTGAAGTGGCACATGGACTTAGTTTAATAAAGTGTGCCTCGGGATGAAGCGCAGTCATGCATTTTTTCCCCCCCGCCTCATGAGCTTAATGGATCAAAAGCTCTTTAAAAGCAAACTATGGGGCTAAATATAGGAGAACAGAGTCATTCAGGATGATCTTCTTCCTCTTTCTTGTGTATCAGTGTCGTTTATTGGAAAAATTTTCACACCTCCTCTCCCTAGTTTTAGTCTGCATAGGCAAATTTCATATCCTTCATACCTTTTTTCTTATTTCTCGTGATCGTTCTTTCCCCTTTTCCTGTCACCACCACCGCCACTATCATCTTCTTCTTGGTATCTTCTTTGAAATTTCATATCCTTCACAAATTTTTATTTTCTCTTGATCGATCTTCTTCTTCTTCTTGCTCCTCTAACTCCTCCATGTTCTATTTATATTTTTCTACTCCTTTAATGTGTGTCAAGACCAAGACTATGTGTCACAGGACAGTGACTAACTGAAGAAGAGGAATCACCTTCCTTTCCTATGGTGGAAAGCTGCGGTGATGACCATGGAAGCTGGGGGAGGATGGACACATGTAGTGTTGTTGGAAGAGAACTTCCTTTTGAATTTTATTTCAATACAAACTTGATTCTAAATTACAAAGAGTAATTGTATTTAAATACAATAATCCTAATTGAAAAGGGAAATTAACAGTATTACTAACAATAATGAATTTGCCAAAAGACTATTTGGGATAAAATAGGAAACTTCGAGCATTACAGAGTATAATTAATTCTGACAGTAGCCGGCTATTGTTTGTGTAATTGTGTTCCTCACCTCCTTGTACCTCTTAATCTCTTATGTGCGTACACATGCCCTATGAATGCATTATTTCCCCCATCCTGGAGATCAAGCCTGAAAGTAGGAAAATGGGTGCGGAAGTCGTCCAAGTTATCCCATGTGGCATACTAGCGTCTTCGTCTATCAACGCCTCCCATTCCTCCCAATGCACCAAAATTTTATGGAAATATCTCACCAAATTTGATCAAAAATAAGGAATGGTTGGAGTAACCCGGCCAGATCAAGATTTTCCTATCTGGCGCTCTGGATTGACTAACAAAAGAGCATTCATCCCCGACAAATGGAATTCACACTTCAGCCCATGATTTATTTTTTACTCCGTGAGTGGAGTTACGGGTGGCTGCAATTACTTGAGCAAACAAGTTGGACTCAGAAAAAAAAAAGAAATATCTTCCTTTTGTACAAAATTAACCCATCAATTATCAACCATCAGGAGTGCTGGACTGCTGCTCGGCGTTCAAATTCAAGAGCTGTATACACTGTATTTGGTACTTTGGTTCAAGAAATTTGTAAGGAATAAGAAACGAAAATGAAGTGGAAAACAGTATTTTTTGTTTGGTTAGGAAGGAAACGAAAGGAAAAGTGGAAGGAAAAGAAAATGAGAAGGCAAAATGTACTAAGAGGAGAGAAAACCAAACTCCTCCCATTTTGGTGATGAAAATGAGAGAAAATTGTTTTCTTTTCTTTTCCTTTCAAATTCCTTGAACCAAACATAGTGGTAGGGGAGGATGTATGAAGTTACCATCCACCAAGGTAGAAGAAAGAGTTGTGCCCTATCCAAGTACCTACGAGGTAGACTGGACTCATCAGCTAGTCACATAAGAACTGGGTGAATGATGATTTAAAGGTAGAAAAGAGGGTTTGGTTGTCCATGACACATTTAGAAGATGATGAAACAGAGTTGTTCTATCGTGGTCCTAAGGTCCACATGTAAAATATGGGCCTTCTTATACTTTTCATGGGCTGACAAGTGGATTTTTTTCTTGTTTTGTGAAGGCGCAATTCTTTTATTATATCAATACACTAAGGTCCATAAAAATTAGCATGGACCTTAGGACCACGTAAGAATTTGGCGATGAAACAAGACATGCATTTGTATTAACCGAGTGGGCAATTGCTATGGTAGAGGTTTAGGAACACTTCAGAAAGTCCTGGTATTGGGATAATTGAGCAAACTAATACAAAGATATCATTACAAAAAATTTGGGGAGTTTTTGTTTACAGTGGCAATATCCACACCTTGAGACCCTTGTTATTTGTATTTCAATTTCCTTCAATAATGTTTCCTGTTTCCTGGCTTCTACTCATTCTTATATAAGGTTGACACAGAGTTGGCCATGGAATTATTAGCATTGCTTGGCTTGACAAGTTGGACCACTATAGGTGGAAAATAGAGAAGAAATATGAGAATCGGAAAGAACATGATATTCCACTGTCTCAAAATCAGAAGGTAGACCTATGAAAAAGCTCAAGCCATCTGTTACTGTTGGTTTTTTTGCACCTGCTGTGCTAAAAGTCATCAACTCATTAAATTTTGTGTAGGTGTGTTTAATTTGCACAAAATAGGCAGTAAACCTTGTGTTTTAAGTTGGACAAAAGGCTTTACACACCTCATATAACATCCCTTTGTTCAGTATACATAAGATATAGATATTACTTTAGGTCATTAACAGTTTCACTATGACTGATCAAACCAAATACGAGTACCCTACTTTCAATAGAGTTACGAATTCATAGGAAGCTAGTGTAATCTCTTAACCATGTTTCCTTGCAGCATAATCTTTCATAGGGTTGTTAGTTACATTATTGTCTTTATTAACAGTTTTATTCCACCCTAAATGATTGGAACCATTATGTCTGTGCTTGGTAATTTTTGTGCTTATCAGAATAACATCAACCGTATAATAATAGATTTTTTCTGAGGTATATTTGCCCTAAATGAAGTAGAATTGCCAGATAGAGGAAAAAATACATAGTTATCTTGGACCAAGAATTCAAGAGACCTTAGGAAACTAAAAAATGTACATGTATTCCAGAATCTGAATGTAGGGAATCCGACGGGACGAATGGTCGTGGCCCATGAAGATCCTGGTGGTTAGAGGCCTGAATGACTAAAGTTGCTTGTATTGAAAGTAATGAATTGTTTTTGTTTCTTTTTTTAGCTAACAAATTTATCTTTTGATACGTTCTAAACACAATGTTGCATGAGAATGGCCAATCCTGGTCAACACTGGTCATTGGTTAACGGCTGATAAATGGTCATCTGTAAAGTATCGAAAGGTCTTACTATGCTTGTCTAAAAGAGACGAAGGCACTGGTGCAAAATGTTGGCTGAGATCTGAAGTGAGGGAGAGATCAAGATGGAATTATTATGAACCACTGACTAGATAGTACAGTTGATGCTGAAGTTAAGAATGCAGAAAATAGGCATTGATACCATGCTATTAAGTGTAGGAACTCCCATATATCGCCGCTTTTAGTTGCCCCCAAACAGGGTATCATTGATGAGTATGCATTTATTGCATTGGCCTACTGAGAAAAACTATGAGGTCTCACTTTGGATGGGCAAGGAAATAGCTTTACTAGATGTTGTTTGCCCAGAACCTTTCATGGGCTCTGACAAAGATGCATTTTTTATGGGTAGGGAAATAAAACTCTGCTGTTTTACGTTTCATGTAAATAGAATATCCTAATGGTAATCCGAGGATTTGTGTATCATTTGTCTGTTCATTTTAATTTTAGTTACCAATCTATACAGGTCTGGTGCACTAAATTATAGAAACAAGTCCTGTAAAAAGACCATCCAGAAACACCAATCTGCTAAAATAAAATCATGGCTTGATATTTGCATCCAACATGACATAAATTTCCTTCCATGCAATTTGACAATGTGTTATCTGTATATTAAAAGTTTGGGTTTCACTTCTTGAGCAGATCACAGAGGCTGAAGTGGATTATTATGGTTCAGATGCAAAAGCTGAGCATGGTTCATATTTGGATGGAATGTACCCTGGTGAAGAGGGGCAGCTGTCATGGTTTAACGCTGGGGTGAGAGTTGGTGTAGGAATAGGCCTTGGGATGTGTGTAGGTGTCGGCATTGGTGTCGGACTTCTCATGAGATCCTATCAAGCCACAACCAAAAACCTACGAAGGCGGTTTTTCTAGATGTCGTGAGGTTTGGAAATATCAACTTTTTTTTTTCTTCTGGTTTTTTTATGCACATTAGCATCAAAGTGACCTTAGGCAACAAAAAATCCCAATACCATAAAAGCCTTTTCTGCATAGTGTCCCAAGTGTATGTGTAGTGAGCCTTTTGTAAATATTTCCTTTGGAGAAATTTTTGTGTCAAGATGTGTTGTGTAGTAGCCTTTTCTTGTGAATATCTTAGAAGAGTTTCAATTTGTTATATTCCATTTTTGTTCCCATAGAAAGTCTTCCCCCTCTTGATAGCATTGTGAAGAGTGGTGGTGGTGGTGGTGTGTATGAAGGTAGTGACAACACATTCTCATATAGTAATTATTTCATTTTATGCATTTCTGTGTTCATCTGTTCCAATTCAGCTGTATTCTTTTAAAGTGCTACAAACTAAATGATTATGTTGAACACTAGGGTTCTTGACATTGGAAAGTAAGCTGAAGAAAAAAAGAAAAGAGAATCAGGAACTCATGTTCTTTCACTTTGTGCACGGCGAAGGTCCCGATCTCAAATTGATGGCTCGATCTTTAGGAAAGTAAGCTGCTTGATCTATCTCCCTATAACCTTCTGCACGCATGCGACGTGATGATTGGAAAAACAGAGAAAAGAGAGGTCGCGGGTAGATTGAGAGGCGTCAAAATTAGATTCAGGTCTCTCTGGCTTCACTGAATACTAGCGTGGCAAAACTTCAATTTGTCAAAGAAAAAAGAGACGAGAAGAGTGGAGAGGGAAAGAGAATGGGGCAAAACAATAGATCTAGGGGTTTGCTTTGATTTAGAGACATAAATGTGTTTTTTTTTTGGAAATGGAAAGGTAATTTAAGGACATCGAAAAACAAGAAGTAGGAAAGACGTTTTAAGATGGAGGGAGTTGCTCTTTGATGTTTTGTTCGTCTTCGAAGTAGTGTCTACCACAGTTACCTTTCTAGGTGACGATCCACTGTCAAATATACTCTGTATTTAACAGTGGACTGTTACGGGTGTAGGACAGTAAAAACTACATAATTGAATAGAACATTGTAGGATCTTTACATGGACAAGTGTTATACTCCTTTCGTCTCTTTTAGATTACAATATTCTATTTTTCAGAAAATTAAGGAGTTAAATCATTAGTGAAAATTAAAGAGGAGTTAATCATTAAATTTTTTCCCAAACTACCCCCAATTAAGGAGGAGTCAAAGGGATATGAAAGGGGGAGTAAAATGGTCCAAATAATGTTAAAATTGGAACCTTGTAATTCTTTTTGAGACAAGAATGGGAGGAAATATTGCAATCAAATTAGGGACGAGGGAGTATTACGACGGAACCGAGCGACGAAATTAACAACATAATATTTTCGTTGCCACAATTGACGACGGTTGTAGCGATGGTTTCTGCATTTTGACCATACATCGACGAAAATGATATTTCGTTGCCTATTTGACAGCATTAATACAGGAAGCTGCAATTTTTTCAATTTCACACAACATCCATAACAACGTCCTCTAGCTCAGAATTCCATAGCATCAAACAACAACAAATACTAGAAATGAAGAGTACCAAACAACCAAGAATATTCAAATCACCAAGGTATAATTAAAATTCAAATAATACTTATAAAAATTCAACGTAACAATCAAATCTAACTCCACTTACATAACCATCAAACTTAAGTTTCATATAATGTTCTTCAATTCTAATAAAATAATCAACAAGCGCCTGCAGACCCCGACCCTCCTCCATCTCCACCGCCATCTCCATTTCCACGCGGGAAAACTCTTCTATAGAGTCGGGTCATCTCTTCTCTAATCGACAATAGTTCACGCGTTTGGGAAGCTCTTATGTTGTCTAGCTCTTCTCTCAATCTCCTAATCTCTTCTCTAATCGACAATAGTTCACGCGCATTCCGATTGAATTTCTAGAACCGACTTTGGGTCCTCCATATTCACCGAGGTTTGGGTATCGAAGAACGTCAGATTATTCTTGTATGTTTGGTAAAGTCACATCGCATACTCGTTTGGCTCAATATCAGACAGAGGAACGAAGGAATCGAAAGAATTCATAATAAAAATTAAAAAATACGGAGTAGTAGATAAAGGTATGAGATACTCCCTCCGTCACAAAAAGATTACAACACTTCATTATTCAAAAATCACGCCAACTTTTATTTATTTTCACGTTTTCATATTTTGTTTGATACTCCCTCCGTCCTAATTCTTTCTTCCCAGTTTGACTTTTCTCCATTTTTAATTTTTGGCTTTGACTTCAAATTTTACCCTCCTTAAAAAAGATTTTTTTAAATTTTTTTTGCAATCATTCAAAATATAGAGTTAGAAGATAATTGGTGTAAATACATGAGGGTATTAATGTCATTTGTCATCTTTTTTTTCTAATGGGAAGGTAGTTTTAGGACAGGGAAAAAGAGGAAGTGGGAAGAAAGTTTTAGGACGGAGGGAGTAAAATATAACATTTTTTCACACTTTATTTTTTAAAACTTTTGACATAATTTTTAAATATGTAATTTTCATTTTTTATTTCTATACTAATTTTTACATAAAATGAATTTAAAAAACTCAAAAAATTTATTTGTTTGGCACAATGTTGTAAGATTTTTGGGATGGAAAGAGTACGAGAATATAGAATTGTATGAGAAAGATATGAAATATTAGAATATGTCGTGTGCATATTTTTAAAATAGGAGAATGTATTATAGTAGAAATTTTAGTAATTTTCTTTTTGAATTTGCAACGGCAAAATGACCGTTAATTAGGAGGGGGGGTGGGGGGGAGGGCAACGATTACTGACGAAGGTTGCGCAGCATTAAGCATTTGACACAACCACCTCAATGCCAGTTTAACGGGAAAGGGGACGGTGTTTAACGTTACGGTGTTAAACACCGGTTTGATGCCACGGGCGTTAGGCCCATTTTATGCAGTATTTTATTTTGAGTATTTTTTTTTATAATTCCATGAAAAAGAAGTCGGATACTCTCAGTTGTTACCATCCTAGCGGCGACAAGTGGGAAATTGGGAATAGTTTGCCGGAGGGTGGACGGCGGAGCGATAGACTTGAATTAACGTTTCCCAGATACTGCGGACCCCATATGGGGGTGGGTCCCACCACTCTTTTTATACGGACTATCTCTTTTCTTTTCTTTTTCTTTTTGTTGGCATGGCAAGCTGGCACATGGACCCCACGAGGCATTTGATAACGCACGGCGGCCTCACGAGATGCACACCCTCCGTCTCCATTTCTTTTTCAAAAATGCTATCGTTGACTAGAGTAAATTCCATAATTGGTCCTTTATAACAAATGGGTTTTCCTATTTAGTCATCTATTATCAAATATTATCTCAGGGGTCCTTTTTTTATGGGTATCTTTCCACAAATAGTCTTTTTTTAATCTTCTATCATGTTGGTATTAATTTGAGGGCTAAAAGTGTAATTTTACAATGATAATATATCTTTTTTGTCATACACAATTCCAAAGGTTGTTTCGTTTGCGTCGTTTGTGAATTACAGTCGCTTTCTGCTACAACCATAGTCTACAAATATGGTTTTTCGTCGGAATTCTAGCCCACAGTCATAGTCACTATTTTTGTATTATCCGCTTCACCAATATTAGAACACGTCACTAGACATAATGTTGATGACAAATTATACTTTTAGCCTTTAAATTAATACCAACTTGACAGCAGATCAAAAAAAGGATCATTTGTGGAAAGACACCCTTAAAAAAAAACTACGGGGGTAATATTTGATAATAGATGACTAAATATGGAAACCCCTGTTATAAAGGACCAATTATGGAATTTACTCATTTGACTAATATAGTTTCCTTACACATTGTCTCAATTTAAATTTTTTTTGTCTTTGATTGCGAATTAAATATAGTTTAAAATAATTGAATATTTCATTATAAAAATTTGATATCTCAAACTTATATTTTAAAATGAATCTAATTTTATTAAATTTACATTATAATTAAATACATTTTTTCTATAATTTATGGCCAAAGTGTTGCACAGTTTGACCGAAAAAATCAAACTATTGTAATCATTTTGGGATGGAAGGAGGTATATTAAGAAACCACATCAAAAAATTTACAAACTAAAAGGTGATATGACTATATTATTTTATCAAATAACTAACAAAAATTGATAAAGAAAGTAATCAAAATTTAATCGCATGAGGAGCAACTAGGAAAATTGTTTCGCGACGAAGTAATTCTTCTGGAGATACAAGAAAAATGTTAGAGTCGCAAAAACAAAGATTACAAACATTACTATTTTACTATTCTTGGATCATAAGCAAAGAATAAATGGTCTCAAATAATACTCCATCCATCCCGCAAACTCTTTTTCCTCTTCTTTGTCCCTTAATCTCTTTCTTTTTTCTATTAAAAATCTGCTTTTAATCGTATAATGGCAGTATGATGTAAGTGTATGTGTTGGCAATGTTGCGTAAAAGTGATAACAGTGCAATACGGTTGTACGATCTGTCAATCGTCGACGATCACCGACTCCCTATTGATGATCGACAACAAGTGTGACAATGGGGCAGTGATAGTGTGGCAGTTGCAGCATGACAATATGGTGAGTGTGGCAGTGTAATAATGACATTGTTAGTTTCTATTTTGGTTTTTAAAAGCCTTAGAATGTTACACTTCACTTTTTAAAAATAATGATAAATTTTATTTATTTGCATATTTTCATTGATTATTTGATGAAATAAAATATTCAATTCGTCTCAACTCTTATTTTGTAAAAATTTTTACGTAGTTTTTGAGTATGCAAGTTTTATTTTTTACGAAGTGTTCTATAGAAATATTTAAATAAAATGAATTTAAAAAATTATAATTTTTACTTCGTTTTGTGTAGTATGACAATCTTTTTTAAAATCGTGTAAAATCTCGTAATTTTTTAATTAGTTTTATTTGAAATTTAGTATAGAATTTGAAAATACAACTTTTATCGGAAGTATTTAAAAGCCACTTAAAAATCTTTATAATTTTTTGAGAATGCCTAAAGAATTTGTGTCTGATTGAAATTGAAAAAATACTTAATTTAAATGGACGGTCTTTAAGGAAAATAAGTGGGATGTCATTTCTAAATGACAGTCCACTTAATAGATTTTAAAATAATTTGTTGGTAAAAAAGTTGAACTATGATAAAGAAAAGTTATCATATTATGAGATACTTATCTTATGACGAATGGAGATCAACGAAAGATATACGACGAAATAAAGAAAGTTGTGACAACTGAAAGAGGATTTTTTTTTGTATTTGGTTACGATGGAACTCAAAAAAACATTTCTATGAAAATCACTCTCTACTTCTCTGAGGTCAAATGGTAAGTTTATCTTGAATGTCGCAACTAGTGGCATTGTAACATTGATTTTTCCTGGAGGAAGGATAGCACACTCGAGATTCTCAATCCCTTTGACGCTAACCAAGTTGTCAACATGTGACATCAAACAAGAGAGTCCGAA